CAAATAGTAGTAGTAGTAATACTTATGATTGTGGTGGTGGTGGTAATACATATAATAATGAAGAAGATAATATTGCTAATATTAATATCACTAATAATACTAATAGTAGTAGTAATACTAGTAGTAGTAGTAGAAGAAGAAGTAATAGTAGTAACTAATAAGAAACTAATAATAATACTAATAACAGTAGTAATGATATTGATGATGGTGGTAGTAGTAATAACAATAATAATAATAATAATAATAATAATTTTATACCCCTCCCATTTGGCTGGGTTTCAATAATAGTAGTAGTAATACTAGTAGTAGTATTAGAAGAAGAAGTAATAGTAGTAACTAATAAGAAACTAATAATAATACTAATAGCAGTAGTAATAATTATTGATGATGGTAATAATAAGAATAAGCATAAGAATAAATGATAATGAGAATAATAATAGTAATAGTAGTAATAATAATAATAGTAATAATATTAATAATGATAATAATAGTGATAATATATATTATTATAGATAAAAGGGAGAGAGAAAATAAATAATAATAATAATAATATGATGATAATAATAATAATAATAATAATAATAATAATATCTTATAGATAAGAGAGAGAAATTAATAAATAATAATAATAATATGATGATGATGATGATGATGATAATAAAAATATAATAGCATTTTATAAGGGGATCAGAAGATGGGTAATAATAATAATGATAATAATAATAATAATAATAATAATAATAATAATAATAATAATAATAGCATTTTATAAGGGGATCAGAGGATGGGTAATAATAATAATAATAATAATAATAATAATAATAATAGCATTTTATAAGGGGATCAGAAGATGGGTAATAATAATAATAATAATAGCATTTTATAAGGGGATCAGAGGATGGGTAATAATAATAATGATAATAATAATAATAATAATAATAATAGCATTTTATAAGGGGATCAGAAGATGGGTAATAATAATAATAATAATAATATAGTAATAATAATAGCATTTTATAAGGGGATCAGAAGATGGGTAATAATAATAATAATAATAATATAGTAATAATAATAGCATTTTATAAGGGGATCAGAAGATGGGTAATAATAATAATAATAATAATAATAATAATAATAATAATAGCATTTTATAAGGGGATCAGAAGATGGGTAATAATAATAATAATAATAATAATAATAATAATAATAACATCCCCGCAGGACCAGAAGGTTTACGTCCAACACCGAATCCTCGAAAACCAGCCGCTGCTTTGGGATCTGGTGCGTCGCGGCGCCTGGATCTATTTGGCCGGGTGAGTCGTAGCGCCGCCGGGCGCCGGGCTGGGAATCCTCGAACCCGCCACCCTCCTATTATTATTACTATTATTATTATTATTATTATTATTATTCCAGGAGCGCCAAGGAGGTTCCCGACGCCGTGGCCGCCGCCCTGCGCGCCGCGTTCCAGTCCCAAGGCGCCATGTCGGAAAGCGAGGCGGCCGGCTTCCTGGCGGCGCTGGAGCGGGCCGGGCGCTTCCAGGCCGAGACCTGGTCCTGAACTGGGCGCCGATGGGAAACGTAGTTGCGGCCGGTAGGTCGGGGCGCTACGGTTCCCAGAATCCTCTGGGGCGCTACGGTTCCCGGCGCCTAGTACTGGAAATAAATGGTGTTTGGCGCTACGGTTCCCAGAATCCTCTGGGCGCTACGGTTCCCAGAATCCTCTGGGCGCTACGGTTCCCAGAATCCTCTGGGGCGCTACGGTTCCCGGCGCCTAGTACTGTGAATAAATGGATTATTCTTACTGGTTGGGTTGGTGTTTGGCACTACAGTTCCCAGAATCCTTCAGGGTTGGTGTTTGGCGCTACGGTTCCCACAAACCTCTGGGCGCTACGGTTCCCAGAATCCTCTGGGCGCTACAGTTCCCAGAATCCTCTGGGGTGCTATGGTTTCCGGCGCCTAGTCCTGGAAATAAATGGTGTTTGGCGCTACGGTTCCCAGAATCCCCTGGGGCGCTACGGTTCCCAGAATCCTCTGGGGCGCTACGGTTCCCGGCGCCTGGTACTGGAAATAAATGGATTATTCTTACTGGTTGGGTTGGTGTTTGGCGCTACAGTTCCCAGAATCCTTTGGGGTTGGCGGTGCTACGGTTTCCGGCGCCTGGTACTGGAAATAAATGGTGTTTGGCGCTACGGTTCCCAGAATCCTCTGGGCGCTACGGTTCCCAGAATCCTCCTGGGTGCTACGGTTCCCGGCGCCTAGTACTGGAAATAAATGGTGTTTGGCGCTACGGTTCCCAGAATCCTTCAGGTTTGGTGTTTGGCGCTACGGTTCCCAGAAACCTCGGCGCTACGGTTCCCAGAATCCTCTGGGCGCTACAGTTCCCAGAATCCTCTGGGGTGCTATGGTTCCGGCGCCTAGTCCTGGAAATAAATGGTGTTTGGCGCTACGGTTCCCAGAATCCCCTGGGGCGCTACGGTTCCCAGAATCCTCTGGGCGCTACGGTTCCCAGAAACCTCTGGGCGCTACAGTTCCCAGAATCCTCTGGGGCGCTACGGTTCCCGGCGCCTAGTACTGGAAATAAATGGATTCTTGTTACTGGTTGGGTTGGCTTTTGGCGCTACGGTTCCCAGAATCCTCTGGGCGCTACGGTTCCCGGCGCCTAGTACTGGAAATAAATGGTGTTTGGCGCTACGGTTCCCAGAATCCTTTGGGGTGCTATGGTTCCCGGCGCCTAGTACTGGAAATAAATGGTGTTTGGCGCTACGGTTCCCAGAATTCTTTGGGCGCTACGGTTCCCGGCGCCTAGTACTGGAAATAAATGGATTCTTGTTACTGGTTGGGTTGGCTTTTGGCGCTACGGTTCCCAGAATCCTTTGGGGTGCTATGGTTCCCGGCGCCTAGTACTGGAAATAAATGGTGTTTGGCACTACAGTTCCCAGAATTCTCTGTGCGCTACGGTTCCCAGAATCCTCTGGGCGCTACGGTTCCCGGCGCCTAGTACTGGAAATAAATGGATTCTTGTTACTGGTTGGGTTGGCTTTTGGCGCTACGGTTCCCAGAATCCTCTGGGCGCTACGGCTCCCGGCGCCTAGTTCTGGAAATAAATGGTGTTTGGCGCTATGGTTCCCAGAATCCTCTGGGCGCTACGGTTCCCAGAAACCTCTGGGCGCTACGGTTCCCAGAATCCTCTGGGCGCTACGGCTCCCGGCGCCTAGTTCTGGAAATAAATGGTGTTTGGCGCTATGGTTCCCAGAATCCTCTGGGCGCTACGGTTCCCGGCGCCTGGTACTGGAAATAAATGGTGTTTGGCGCTACGGTTCCCAGAATCCTCTGGGCGCTACGGTTCCCAGAATCCTCTGGGCGCTACAGTTCCCACAATCCTCTGGGGCGCTACGGTTCCCGGCGCCTAGTACTGGGAATAAATGGATTCTTGTTACTGGTTGGCTTGGCTTTTGGCGCTACGGTTCCCAGAAACCTCTGCGCCCGGAATGACCTGCAATTGCCCTGAATGAACTGCAGTTCCCAGGCACCCTGAATGAACTACGGTTCCCAAGCGCCCTGAACAAACTACAGTTCCCAGGCACCTGGAATGAACTGTGATTGCCCTGAATAAACTACAGTTCCCAGGCACTTTGAATGAACACTTTCCCTGAAAGAACTACAGTTCCCATGCACCTTGAGTTAGCCGATTTCCCTGAATAAACTATAATTCCCAGGCGCCTGGAATGACCTGCCATTGCCCTCAGTAAACTGCAGTTCCCAGGCGCTTGCCCTTAATGAACTACAGTTCCCAAGCACCTGGAATGAACTGTGATTGCCCTGAATGAACTACAGTTCCCAGGCGCTTGCCCTTAATGAACTACAGTTCCCAAGTGCCCGGAATGAACTGTGATTGCCCTGAATAAACTGCAGTTCCCAGGCGCTTGCCCTGAAAAACTACAGTTCCCAGGTGCTTGTCCTTCATGAACTACAGTTCCCAAGCGCCTTGAGTGGCCTGTGTTGGACCTGAATGAACTACAGTTCCCAAGCGCTACGTTTCCCAGAATCCTCTTTGGTGGGTTGGCGGTGCTACGGTTCCCGGCGCCTAGTACTGGAAATAAAAGGATGGTTACTTGTGGGGTTGGTGTTTGGCGCGCTACAGTTCCCAGCGCCCAAATAAACTGAATGAACTACAGTTCCCAGGCGCGCTGTGGTTCCCAGGCGCCTAAATGATCTCAATTGCCCTGAATGAACTACAGTTTCCAGGCGCCTAGAATGAGTTGGCAAACTGCAATTCCCAGGCACTTGCCCTGAATGAACTACAGTTCCCAGGCGCCTTGAATGGCCTGCAAAACTGCAAGGCGCTTGCCCTGAATGAACTACAGTTCCCAGGCGCCTGGAGTCACATGCGTTTGCCCTGAATGAACTACAGTTCCCAGGCGCCTGGAGTCATGTATTTGCCCTGAATGAACTACAGTTCCCAGGCGCCTGGAGTCACATATATTTGCCCTGAATGAACTACAGTTCCCAGGCGCCTGAAGTCACGTGTATTTGCCCTGAATGAAATACAGTTCCCAGGCGCCTGGAATGACGTGCAATTGCCCTGAATGAACTACAGTTCCCAGGCGCCCGGAATTACCTGTGATTGCCCTGAATGAACTATAGTTCCCAGGCACCTTGAACGACCTGCAATTGCCCTGAATGAACTACAGTTCCCAAGCACCTTGAGTGACCTGATTGCCCTGAATGAACTACAGTTCCCAGGCGCTTGCCCTGAATGAACTACAGTTCCCAGGCGCCTGGAATGAACTGTGATTGCCCCGAATGAACTACAGTTCCCAAGCACTTTGAGTGACCTGATTGCCCTGAATGAACTACAGTTCCCATGCGCCCGGAATTACCTACAATTGCCCTGAATAAACTACAGTTCCCAGGCGCCTGGAATGAACTGTGATTGCCCCGAATGAACTACAGTTCCCAAGCACTTTGAGTGACCTGATTGCCCTGAATGAACTACAGTTCCCATGCGCCCGGAATTACCTACAATTGCCCTGAATAAACTACAGTTCCCAGGCGCCCGGAATTACCTGCAATTGCCCTGAATGAACTACAGTTCCCAAGCACCTTGAGTGACCTGCCATTGCCCTGAATGAACTACAGTTCCCAGGCGCTTGCCCTGAAAGAACTACAGTTCCCAAGCACCTGGAATGAACTGTGATTGCCCTGAATAAACTGCAGTTCCCAGGCGCTTGCCCTGAATGAACTACAGTTCCCAGGCGCCTGGAATGAACTGTGATTGCCCTGAATAAACTACAATTCCCAGGCCCTGAATGAACTACAGTTCCCAAGCAGCTGGAATGAACTGTGATTGCCCTGAATAAACTACAGTTCCCAGGCGCCTGGAATGAACTGTGATTGCCCCAAATGAACTACAGTTCCCAAGCACTTTGAGTGACCTGATTGCCCTGAATGAACTACAGTTCCCAGGCGCCCGGAATGACCTGCAATTGCCCTGAATGAACTACAGTTCCCAGGCGCCCTGAATGACCTGCGATTCCCCTGAATGAACTACAGTTCCCAGGCGCCTTGAGTGACCTGCGATTCCCCTGAATAAACTACAGTTCCCAGGCGCTTGCCCTGAATGAACTACAGTTCCCAAGCACCTGGAATGAACTGTGATTGCCCTCAATAAACTGCAGTTCCCAGGCGCTTGCCCTGAATGAACTACAGTTCCCAGGCGCCTGGAATGACCTGCCATTGCCCTGAATAAACTACAGTTCCCAGGCGCTTGCCCTGAATGAACTACAGTTTCCAGGCGCCTAGAATGAGTTTGTAAACTGCAATTCCCAAGCGCTTGCCCGGAATAAACTACAGTTCCCAGGCGCCTTGAATGGCCTTGTAAACTGCAAGGCGCTTGCCCTGAATGAACTACAGTTCCCATGCGCCCGGAATGACCTGCAATTGCCCTGAATGAACTACAGTTCCCAGGCGCTTGCCCAGAATGAACTACAGTTCCCAGGCGCCTTGAAAGACCAGTTTGCACACAGCAAACTACAGTTCCCAGCACCCGGAAGGTTGGATAAAGTCAGATTCAAGAAATGATCAATACATTTTATCAATGGAATAATATTCTGAGGTTGTTTTATTAATAATAATAATAATAATAATAATAATAATAATAATAATATATTCCGGGGAGAGTAATTGGTACCCAGGAAATGGGGAGGAAGGAGAGTACTAGGGAGGAAGGGGAGTAATAGGGAGGAAGGGGAGTAGTAGGGAGGAAGGGGAGTAATAGGGAGGAAGGGGAGTAATAGGGAGGAAGGAGAGTGATTGGTGCCCAGGAAATAGGGAGGAAGGAGAGTGATTGGTGCCCAGGAAATAGGGAGGAAGGAGAGTGATTGGTACCCAGGAAATGGGGAGGAAGTGGAGTAATAGGGAGGAAGGGGAGTAGTAGGGAGGAAGGGGAGTAATAGGAAGGAAGTGGAGTAATAGGGAGGAAGGAGAGTGATTGGTGCCCAGGAAATAGGGAGGAAGGAGAGTGATTGGTACCCAGGAAATGGGGAGGAAGTGGAGTAATAGGGAGGAAGGGGAGTAGTAGGGAGGAAGGGGAGTAATAGGAAGGAAGTGGAGTAATAGGGAGGAAGGAGAGTGATTGGTGCCCAGGAAATAGGGAGGAAGGAGAGTGATTGGTACCCAGGAAATGGGGAGGAAGTGGAGTAATAGGGAGGAAGTGGAGTAATAGGGAGGAAGGAGAGTAATAGGGAGGAAGGGGAGTAATAGGGAGGAAGTGGAGTAATAGGGAGGAAGGAGAGTGATTGGTACCCAGGAAATAGGGAGGAAGGGGAGTAATAGGGAGGAAGTGGAGTAATAGGGAGGAAGGAGAGTGATTGGTGCCCAGGAAATAGGGAGGAAGGAGAGTGATTGGTACCCAGGAAATGGGGAGGAAGTGGAGTAATAGGGAGGAAGTGGAGTAATAGGGAGGAAGGAGAGTAATAGGGAGGAAGTGGAGTAATAGGGAGGAAGTGGAGTAATAGGGAGGAAGTGGAGTAATAGGGAGGAAGGGGAGTAATAGGGAGGAAGGAGAGTGATTGGTACCCAGGAAATGGGGAGGAAGTGGAGTAATAGGGAGGAAGGAGAGTAATTGGTATCCTGGAAGTAGGGAGGAAGGAAAGTGATTGGTACCCAGGAAATAGGGAGGAAGGAGAGTGATTGGTACCCAGGAAATAGGGAGGAAGGGGAGTAATAGGGAGGAAGTGGAGTAATAGGGAGGGAGGAGAGTGATTGGTACCCAGGAAATGGGGAGGAAGTGGAGTAATAGGGAGGAAGGGGAGTAATAGGGAGGAAGGAGAGTAATAGGGAGGAAGGGGAGTAATAGGGAGGAAGTGGAGTAATTGGTGCCCAGGAAATGGGGAGGAGGGGAGTAATTGGGAGGAAGTGGAGTAATTGGTATCCAGGAAGTAGGGAGGAAGGAGAGTAATTGGTGCTCAGGAAAGAGGAAGGGGAGTAATAGGGAGGAAGGAGAGTAATAGGGAGGAAGGAGAGTAATAGGGAGGAAGGGGAGTAATAGGGAGGAAGGAGAGTAATAGGGAGGAAGGGGAGTAATAGGGAGGAAGTGGAGTAATAGGGAGGAAGGAGAGTAATAGGGAGGAAGGGGAGTAATAGGGAGGAAGGGGAGTAATAGGGAGGAAGGAGAGTAATAGGGAGGAAGGGGAGTAATAGGAAGGAAGTGGAGTAATAGGGAGGAAGGAGAGTGATTGGTGCCCAGGAAATAGGGAGGAAGGAGAGTGATTGGTACCCAGGAAATGGGGAGGAAGGGGAGTAATAGGGAGGAAGTGGAGTAATAGGGAGGAAGGGGAGTAGTAGGGAGGAAGGGGAGTAATAGGGAGGAAGGGGAGTAATTGGTACCCAGGAAATGGGGAGGAAGTGGAGTAATAGGGAGGAAGGAGAGTAATTGGTATCCTGGAAGTAGGGAGGAAGGAAAGTGATTGGTACCCAGGAAATAGGGAGGAAGGAGAGTGATTGGTACCCAGGAAATAGGGAGGAAGGGGAGTAATAGGGAGGAAGTGGAGTAATAGGGAGGGAGGAGAGTGATTGGTACCCAGGAAATGGGGAGGAAGTGGAGTAATAGGGAGGAAGTGGAGTAATAGGGAGGAAGGAGAGTAATAGGGAGGAAGGGGAGTAATAGGGAGGAAGTGGAGTAATTGGTGCCCAGGAAATGGGGAGGAAGGGGAGTAATTGGGAGGAAGTGGAGTAATTGGTATCCAGGAAGTAGGGAGGAAGGAGAGTAATTGGTGCTCAGGAAAGAGGGAGGAAGTGAAGTAATAGGGAGGAAGGAGAGTAATAGGGAGGAAGGAGAGTAATAGGGAGGAAGGGGAGTAATAGGGAGGAAGGAGAGTAATAGGGAGGAAGGGGAGTAATAGGGAGGAAGTGGAGTAATAGGGAGGAAGGGGAGTAGTAGGGAGGAAGGGGAGTAATAGGAAGGAAGGGGAGTAGTAGGGAGGAAGGGGAGTAGTAGGGAGGAAGGGGAGTAATAGGAAGGAAGTGGAGTAATAGGGAGGAAGGAGAGTGATTGGTGCCCAGGAAATAGGGAGGAAGGAGAGTGATTGGTACCCAGGAAATGGGGAGGAAGTGGAGTAATAGGGAGGAAGGGGAGTAGTAGGGAGGAAGGGGAGTAATAGGAAGGAAGTGGAGTAATAGGGAGGAAGGAGAGTGATTGGTGCCCAGGAAATAGGGAGGAAGGAGAGTGATTGGTACCCAGGAAATCGGGAGGAAGTGGAGTAATAGGGAGGAAGTGGAGTAATAGGGAGGAAGGAGAGTAATAGGGAGGAAGGGGAGTAATAGGGAGGAAGTGGAGTAATAGGGAGGAAGGGGAGTAGTAGGGAGGAAGGGGAGTAATAGGGAGGAAGGGGAGTAATTGGTACCCAGGAAATGGGGAGGAAGTGGAGTAATAGGGAGGAAGGAGAGTAATTGGTATCCTGGAAGTAGGGAGGAAGGAAAGTGATTGGTACCCAGGAAATAGGGAGGAAGGAGAGTGATTGGTACCCAGGAAATAGGGAGGAAGGGGAGTAATAGGGAGGAAGTGGAGTAATAGGGAGGAAGGAGAGTAATAGGGAGGAAGGGGAGTAATAGGGAGGAAGTGGAGTAATAGGGAGGGAGGAGAGTGATTGGTACCCAGGAAATAGGGAGGAAGGAGAGTGATTGGTACCCAGGAAATCGGGAGGAAGTGGAGTAACAGGGAGGAAGGGGAGTAGTAGGGAGGAAGGGGAGTAATAGGAAGGAAGTGGAGTAATAGGGAGGAAGGAGAGTGATTGGTGCCCAGGAAATAGGGAGGAAGGAGAGTGATTGGTACCCAGGAAATCGGGAGGAAGTGGAGTAATAGGGAGGAAGTGGAGTAATAGGGAGGAAGGAGAGTAATAGGGAGGAAGGGGAGTAATAGGGAGGAAGTGGAGTAATAGGGAGGAAGGGGAGTAGTAGGGAGGAAGGGGAGTAATAGGAAGGAAGTGGAGTAATAGGGAGGAAGGAGAGTGATTGGTGCCCAGGAAATAGGGAGGAAGGAGAGTGATTGGTACCCAGGAAATGGGGAGGAAGTGGAGTAATAGGGAGGAAGGGGAGTAATAGGGAGGAAGGAGAGTAATAGGGAGGAAGGGGAGTAATAGGGAGGAAGTGGAGTAATTGGTGCCCAGGAAATGGGGAGGAAGGGGAGTAATTGGGAGGAAGTGGAGTAATTGGTATCCAGGAAGTAGGGAGGAAGGAGAGTAATTGGTGCTCAGGAAAGAGGGAGGAAGTGAAGTAATAGGGAGGAAGGAGAGTAATAGGGAGGAAGGAGAGTAATAGGGAGGAAGTGGGGTAATTGGTATCCAGGAAGTAGGGAGGAAGGAGAGTAATTGGTGCTCAGGAAAGAGGGAGGAAGGGGAGTAATAGGGAGGAAGGAGAGTAATAGGGAGGAAGTGGGGTAATTGGTGCCCAGGAAATGGGGAGGAAGGGGAGTAATTGGGAGGAAGTGGAATAATTGGTGCTCAGGAAAGAGGGAGGAAGTGAAGTAATAGGGAGGAAGGAGAGTAATTGGTGCTCAGGAAAGAGGGAGGAAGTGAAGTAATAGGGAGGAAGGAGAGTAATAGGGAGGAAGTGGAGTAATTGGTGTCCAGGAGGTAGGGAGGAAGCAGTGATTGGCACCCAGGAAATGGAGAGGAAGGGGAGTAATAGGGAGGAAGGAGAGTAATAGGGAGGAAGGAGAGTAATAGGGAGGAAGTGGAGTAATTGGTGCCGAGGAAGGGGAGTAATTGGGAGGAAGTGGAGTAATTGGTATCCAGGAAGTAGGGAGGAAGGAGAGTGATTGGTACGCAGGAAATGTGGAGGAAGGGGAGTAATAGGGAGGAAGGAGAGTAATTGGTACGCAGGGAGGAGGGAGCAAGAGGGAAACGACGCTCCGAGGAGAGTAATTGGTACCCAGGAAATAGGGAGGAAGTGGAATAATAGGGAGGAAGTGGAGTAATAGGGAGGAAGGAGAGTGATTCGTACCCAGGAAATAGGGAGGAAGGAGAGTGATTGGTACCCAGGAAATGGGGAGGAAGGGGAGTAATAGGGAGGAAGTGGAGTAATAGGGAGGAAGGAGAGTGATTGGTACACAGGAAATGGGAGGAAGTGGAGTAATACGGAGGAAGTGGAGTAATAGGGAGGAAGGAGAGTGATTGGTACCCAGGAAATGGGAGGAAGTGGAGTAATACGGAGGAAGTGGAGTAATAGGGAGGAAGGAGAGTGATTGGTACCCAGGAAATAGGGAGGAAGTGGAGTAATAGGGAGGAAGGAGAGTGATTGGTACCCAGGAAATGGGGAGGAAGGAGAGTGATTGGTACCCAGGAAATAGGGAGGAAAAAGAGTGATTGGTACCCAGGAAATGGGGAGGAAGGGGAGTAATAGGGAGGAAGTGGAGTAATAGGGAGGAAGGAGAGTAATAGGGAGGAAGTGGAGTAATTGGTATCCTGGAAGTAGGGAGGAAGGAGAGTGATTGGTACCCAGGAAATGGGGAGGAAGGGGAGTAACAGGGAGGAAGTGGAGTAAAAGGGAGGTAGGAGAGTGATTGGTACCCAGGAAATAGGGAGGAAGGAGAGTGATTGGTACCCAGGAAATGGGGAGGAAGGGGAGTAATAGGGAGGAAGTGGAGTAATAGGGAGGAAGGAGAGCAATTGGTACCCAGGAAATAGGGAGGAAGTGGAGTAATAGGGAGGAAGTGGAGTAATAGGGAGGAAGGAGAGTGATTGGTACCCGGTAAAGATGGAGGAAGTGGAGTAATAGGGAGGAAGGAGAGTGATTGGTACCCAGGAAATAGGGAGGAAGGGGAGTAATAGGGAGGAAGTGGAGTAACAGGGAGGAAGGAGAGTGATTGGTACCCAGGAAATGGGGAGGAAGTGGAGTAACAGGGAGGAAGGAGAGTGATTGGTACCCAGGAAATAGGGAGGAAGTGGAGTAATAGGGAGGAAGTGGAGTAACAGGGAGCAAGGAGAGTGATTGGTACCCAGGAAATGGGGAGGAAGTGGAGTAACAGGGAGGAAGGAGAGTGATTGGTACCCAGGAAATAGGGAGGAAGTGGAGTAATAGGGAGGAAGTGGAGTAATAGGGAGGAAGGAGAGTGATTGGTACCCAGGAAATAGGGAGGAAGGAGAGTGATTGGTGCCCAGGAAATGGGGAGGAAGTGGAGTAACAGGGAGGAAGTGGAGTAATAGGGAGGAAGTGGAGTAATAGGGCGGAAGGAGAGTGATTGGTACCCGGTAAAGATGGAGGAAGTGGAGTAATAGGGAGGAAGTGGAGTAATAGGAAGGAGAGTGATTGGTACCCAGGAAATAGGGAGGAAGTGGAGTAATAGGGAGGAAGTGGAGTAATAGGGAGGAAGGAGAGTAATAGGGAGGAAGGAGAGTAATTGGTACCCAGGAAATAGGGAGGAAGTGGAGTAATAGGGAGGAAGGAGAGTAATTGGTATCCTGGAAGTAGGGAGGAAGGAAAGTGATTGGTACCCAGGAAATAGGGAGGAAGGAGAGTGATTGGTACCCAGGAAATGGGGAGGAAGTGGAGTAATAGGGAGGAAGTGGAGTAATAGGGAGGAAGGAGAGTGATTGGTACCCAGGAAATGGGGAGGAAGGGGAGTAATAGGGAGGAAGTGGAGTAATAGGGAGGAAGTGGAGTAATAGGGAGGAAGGAGAGTAATAGGGAGGAAGGAGAGTAATTGGTACCCAGGAAATAGGGAGGAAGTGGAGTAATAGGGAGGAAGGAGAGTAATTGGTATCCTGGAAGTAGGGAGGAAGGAAAGTGATTGGTACCCAGGAAATAGGGAGGAAGGAGAGTGATTGGTACCCAGGAAATGGGGAGGAAGTGGAGTAATAGGGAGGAAGTGGAGTAATAGGGAGGAAGGGGAGTAATTGGTACCCAGGAAATGGGGAGGAAGTGGAGTAATAGGGAGGAAGGAGAGTGATTGGTACCCAGGAAATAGGGAGGAAGTGGAGTAATAGGGAGGAAGTGGAGTAATAGGGAGGAAGGAGAGTAATTGGTACCCAAGGAGGAGGGAAGAAGATGCTCCAAGTACTTAAAGGGATGGAAGGAGGAAGTTGGAGAGGCCAAGGGGTGTTTTGTTTTCCGGGGTGAAAAATATGCTCCGAGTAGCACAATTGGTACTTAAAGGGATGCTTCAAGGCGGAGGAGTGGTACCCGAGGAGGAGGAGGAGGAGGAAGAAGGCAGGAGGAGAGAGGAAGTAGAAAGATACTCCTAGGAGGAGGAGGAGGAAGGAGGAGAGAGGAAGTAGAAAGGTACTCCGAGGAGGAGGAAGGATGCAGGAGGAGAGAGGAAGTAGAAAGATACTCCTAGGAGGAGGAGGAGGAAGGAGGAGAGAGGAAGTAGAAAGATGCTCCAAGGAGGAGGAGGAAGGATGCAGGAGGAGACAGGAAGTAGAAAGATACTCCGAGGAGGAGGAGGAAGGATGCAGGAGGAGACAGGAAGTAGAAAGATGCTCCAAGGAGGAGGAGTGGTACCCAAGGGGGAGGAGGAAGGATGCAGGAGGAGAGAGGAAGTAGAAAGATACTCCTAGGAGGAGGAGGAGGAAGGAGGAGAGAGGAAGTAGAAAGATGCTCCAAGGAGGAGGAGGAAGGATGCAGGAGGAGACAGGAAGTAGAAAGATACTCCAAGGAGGAGGAGGAAGGATGCAGGAGGAGACAGGAAGTAGAAAGATGCTCCAGGAGGAGGAGTGGTACCCAAGGGGGAGGAGGAAGGATGCAGGAGGAGAGAGGAAGTAGAAGGATGCTTCGAGGAGGAGGAGGAAGGATGCAGGAGGAGAGAGGAAGTAGATACTCCTAGGAGGAGGAGGAGGAGAGAGGAAGTAGAAAGATGCTCCAAGGAGTAGGAGTGGTACCCAAGGGGGAGGAGGAAGGATGCAGGAGGAGACAGGAAGTAGAAAGATGCTCCAAGGAGTAGGAGTGGTACCCAAGGGGGAGGAGGAAGGATGCAGGAGGAGACAGGAAGTAGAAAGATACTCCGAGGAGGAGGAAGGATGCAGGAGGAGACAGGAAGTAGAAAGATACTCCGAGGAGGAGGAAGAAGGCAGGAGGAGAGAGGAAGTAGAAATATGCTCCAAGGAGTAGGAGTGGTACCCAAGGGGGAGGAGGAAGGATGCAGGAGGAGAGAGGAAGTAGAAAGATACTCCTAGGAGGAGGAAGGAGGAGAGAGGAAGTAGAAAGATGCTCCAAGGAGTAGGAGTGGTACCCAAGGGGGAGGAGGAGGAGGAAGGATGCAGGAGGAGACAGGAAGTAGAAAGATACTCCTAGGAGGAGGAAGGAGGAGAGAGGAAGTAGAAGGATGCTTCAAGGATGAGGAGTGGTACCCAAGGAGGAGGAAGAGTGGGGGAGATTGAGAGGTCAAGGAATGCTCTTCCTCCCCTCTCCTGGGTACCACTCCTCCTCCTTGAAGCATCCTTCTACTTCCTGTCTCCTCCTTCCTCCTTCCTCCTCCTCCTTGAAGCACCCTTCTACTTCCTGTCTCCTCCTGCATCCTTCCTCCTCCTCCTTCCAGCATCCTTCTACTTCCTCTCTCCTCCTGCATCCTTCCTCCTCCTCCTTGAAGCATCCTCCTACTTCCTGTCTCCTCCTGCCTCCTTCCTCCTCCTCCTTCCAGCATCCTTCTACTTCCTGTCTCCTCCTGCATCCTTCCTCCTCCTCCTTGAAGCATCCTTCTTCTTCCTGTCTCCTCCTACCTCCTTCCTCCTCCTCCTTCCAGCATCCTTCTACTTCCTGTCTCCTCCTGCCTCCTTCCTCTTCCTCCTTGAAGCATCCTCCTACTTCCTGTCTCCTCCTGTCTCCTTCCTCCTCCTCCTTGAAGCATCCTCCTACTTCCTGTCTCCTCCTGTCTCCTTCCTCCTCCTCCTTGAAGCATCCTTCTACTTCCTGTCTCCTCCTGTCTCCTTCCTCCTCCTCCTTGAAGCATCCTTCCACTTCCTGTCTCCTCCTGCCTCCTTCCTCCTCCTCCTTCCAGCATCCTTCCACTTCCTGTCTCCTCCTGCCTCCTTCCTCCTCCTCCTTCCAGCACCCTTCTACTTCCTGTCTCCTCCTGCCTCCTTCCTCCTCCTCCTTCCAGCATCCTTCTACTTCCTGTCTCTCCTGCCTCCTTCCTCCTCCTCCTTCCAGCACCCTTCTACTTCCTGTCTCCTCCTGCCTCCTTCCTCCTCCTCCTTCCAGCACCCTTCTACTTCCTGTCTCCTCCTGCCTCCTTCTTCCTCCTCCTCCTTGAAGCATCCTTCTACTTCCTGTCTCCTCCTGCCTCCTTCTTCCTCCTCCTTCCAGCACCCTTCTACTTCCTGTCTCCTCCTGCCTCCTTCCTCCTCCTCCTTCCAGCACCCTTCTACTTCCTGTCTCCTCCTGCCTCCTTCCTCCTCCTCCTTGAAGCATCCTTCTACTTCCTGTCTCCTCCTGCCTCCTTCCTCCTCCTCCTTGAAGCACCCTTCTACTTCCTGTCTCCTCCTGCCTCCTTCCTCCTCCTCCTTGAAGCACCCTTCTACTTCCTGTCTCCTCCTGCCTCCTTCCTCCTCCTCCTTGAAGCACCCTTCTACTTCCTGTCTCCTCCTGCCTCCTTCCTCCTCCTCCTTGAAGCATCCTTCTACTTCCTGTCTCCTCCTGCCTCCTTCCTCCTCCTCCTTCCAGCACCCTTCTACTTCCTCTCTCCTCCTGCCTCCTTCCTCTTCCTCCTTGAAGCACCCTTCTACTTCCTGTCTCCTCCTGCCTCCTTCCTCCTCCTCCTTGAAGCATCCTTCTACTTCCTGTCTCCTCCTGCCTCCTTCCTCCTCCTCCTTGAAGCACCCTTCTACTTCCTCTCTCCTCCTGCCTCCTTCCTCCTCCGCCTTGAAGCATCCTTCCACTTCCTGCTTCCTCCTGCCTCCTTCCTCCTCCTCCTTCCAGCACCCTTCTACTTCCTGTCTCCTCCTGCCTCCTTCCTCCTCCTCCTTCAAGCATCCTTCCACTTCCTCTCTCCTCCTGCCTCCTTCCTCCTCCTCCTTGAAGCATCCTTCTACTTCCTCTCTCCTCCTGCCTCCTTCCTCCTCCTCCTTGAAGCATCCTTCTACTTCCTCTCTCCTCCTGCCTCCTTCCTCTTCCTCCTTGAAGCATCCTTCTTCTTCCTGCTTCCTCCTGCCTCCTTCCTCTTCCTCCTTGAAGCATCCTTCTTCTTCCTGCTTCCTCCTGCCTCCTTCCTCTTCCTCCTTGAAGCATCCTTCTTCTTCCTGTCTCCTCCTGCCTCCTGCCTCCTCCTCCTTGAAGCATCCTTCTACTTCCTCTTTCCTCCTGCCTCCTTCCTCCTCCTCCTTCCAGCATCCTTCTACTTCCTGTCTCTTCCTGCATCCTTCCTCTTCCTCCCTGAGTACCAATCACTCTTCCCATTCTGTTTCCTCTCCATCCTTCCTCCTCCTCCGTCCTCTTCCTCCTTCTTCCTTTCCTCCAGGTGGAAACCCTCTCCATCCTCTTCTTTTCCTCCTCCATCCCTCCTTCCTCCTTCCTCCCCTCCCTCCGCCCTGCCAATCTCCCGGCATCCTCCTCCGCAGGAAGTCCCGCCCCCCTCCGTCCCCTCTTCCCTCCTCCTTCTTCCCCTTCCTCCGTCGCTTGGGTACCATTCCTGCATCCCGATTGGACCTGTCCGTCATCCATCAATTCTCAAGAAGATTGACAGGGAGATTGTCAAGCAGGAAGATTGACAGGAGGGCGGGACAAACACCCCCCCCAAAAAAATACTCCCGCCTTCCTTCTTTCCCCTTCCTCCTTCCCTGCATCCCTTTCAACATCCTGGCTACCGGAACATCTCCCTCCTCCCAGCATCCTCCCCTCCTCGGCAGGAAGTCCCGCCCCTTCCTCCCCCCTCTCCCTCCTCCCTCCTCCGCAGGAAGTCCCGCCCCTTCCTCCCCCCTCCCTCCTCCCTCCTCCTCCTTCTTCCTTCCCTCCATCCCTTTCAACATCCTGGCTACCGGAGCATCTCCCTCCTCCCAGCATCCTCCCCTCCTCGGCAGGAAGTCCCGCCCCTTCCTCCCTCCTCTCCCTCCTCCGCAGGAAGTCCCGCCCCTTCCTCCCCCCTCCCTCCTCCCTCCTCCTCCTTCTTCCTTCCCTGCATCCCTTTCAACATCCTGGCTACCGGAGCACCTCCCTCCTCCCAGCACCCTCCCCTCCTCAGCAGGAAGTCCCGCCCCTTCCTCCCCCCCTCCCTCCTCCCTCCTCCGCAGGAAGTCCCGCCCCTTCCTCTCCCCCCTCTCCCTCCTCCTTCCTCCACCAACCGGATCGCCAGGTACCGTTCCAGTATCTTTTCCCTCCATCCCCTGGGTACCATTCCTGCATCCCGACTGGACCTGTCAATCACCCATCATTTTGCGGGAGGGGAGGAAGCAGGAAGATGGACAGGAGGGCGGGACTAACCCCCCCCCCCCCCCAACAAAATACTCCGGCCTTCCTTCCTCCCGTCCGACGCAGCATCCTTCCTCCTTCCCTGCATCCCTCTCTGCATCTTTGGGTACCAATTTGAGCATCCTTCCTCCTTCTCTGCATCCCTCTCAGCATCTTTGGGTACCAATTTGAGCATCCTTCCTCCTTCCCTGCATCCCTCTCAGCATCTTTGGGTACCAATTTGAGCATCCTTCCTCCTTAACTGCATCCCTCTAACCAACTATGGGTACCAATCTGAGCATCCTTCATCCTTCCCTGCATCCCTCTCCGCATCTTTGGGTACCAATCTGAGCATCCTTCCTCCTTCCCTGCATTCCTCTCAGCATCTTTGGGTACCAATTTGAGCATCCTTCCTCCTTCCCTGCATCCCTCTCAGCATCTTTGGGTACCAATCTGAGCATCCTTCCTCCTTCCCTGCATCCCTCTCCGCATCTTTGGGTACCAATTTGAGCATCCTTCCTCCTTCCCTGCATCCCTCTCAGCATCTTTGGGTACCAATCTGAGCATCCTTCCTCCTTCCCTGCATCCCTCTCCGCATCTTTGGGTACCGATTTGGATCTGAGCATCCTTCATCCTTCTCTGCATCCCTCTCAGCATCTTTGGGTACCAATCTGAGCATCCTTCCTCCTTCCCTGCATCCCTCTCCGCATCTTTGGGTACCAATCTGAGCATCCTCCATCCTTCCCTGCATCCCTCTCAGCATCTTTGGGTACCAATTTGAGCATCCTTCCTCCTTCTCTGCATCCCTCTCAGCATCTTTGGGTACCAATCTGAGCATCCTTCCTCCTTCTCTGCATCCCTCTCAGCATCTTTGGGTACCAATTTGAGCATCCTTCCTCCTTCCCTGCATCCCTCTCCGCATCTTTGGGTACCGATTTGGATCTGAGCATCCTTCCTCCTTCTCTGCATCCCTCTCAGCATCTTTGGGTACCAATCTGAGCATCCTTCCTCCTTCCCTGCATCCCTCTCAGCATCTTTGGGTATCAATCTGAGCATCCTTCATCCTTCCCTGCATCCCTCTCAGCATCTTTGGGTACCAATTTGAGCATCCTTCCTCCTTCCCTGCATCCCTCTCAGCATCTTTGGGTACCAATCTGAGCATCCTTCCTCCTTCCCTGCATCCCTCTCCGCATCTTTGGGTACCAATCTGAGCATCCTTCCTCCTTCTCCGCATCCCTCTCAGCATCCTGGGTACCAATTTGGATCTGAGCATCCTTCCTCCTTCTCTGCATCCCTCTCAGCATCTTTGGGTACCAATCTGAGCATCCTTCCTCCTTCCCTGCATCCCTCTCAGCATCTTTGCGTACCAATTTGAGCATCCTTCATCCTTCCCTGCATCCCTCTCAGCATCTTTGGGTACCAATCTGAGCATCCTCCATCCTTCCCTGCATCCCTCTCAGCATCTTTGGGTACCAATCTGAGCATCCTTCCTCCTTCCCTGCATCCCTCTCCGCATCTTTGGGTACCAATTTGAGCATCCTTCCTCCTTCTCTGCATCCCTCTCAGCATCTTTGGGTACCAATCTGAGCATCCTTCCTCCTTCCCTGCATCCCTCTCCGCATCTTTGGGTACCAATTTGAGCATCCTTCCTCCTTCTCTGCATCCCTCTCAGCATCTTTGGGTACCAATCTGAGCATCCTTCCTCCTTCTCTGCATCCCTCTCAGCATCTTTGGGTACCAATCTGAGCATCCTTCCTCCTTCCCTGCATCCCTCTCCGCATCTTTGGGTACCAATCTGAGCATCCTTCCTCCTTCCCTGCATCCCTCTCCGCATCTTTGGGTACCAATTTGGATCTGAGCATCCTTCCTCCTTCTCTGCATCCCTCTCCGCATCCCAGGCATCCTTCCTCCTCCTCAGCCTCCCTCTCCGTATCCCGGGTACCACTCTCCATCCCTCTCAGCATCCTTCATCCTTCTCAGCATCCCGGGTACCACTCTCCATCCCTCTCAGCATCCTTCATCCTTCTCCGCATCCCGGGTACCACTCTCCCTCCCTCTCAGCATCCTTCATCCTTCTCAGCATCCCTCTCAACCTCCCGGGTACCAGAGCATCTCCCTGGGTACCAATTGGGAGCAGAGCATCCTTGCATCCTTCATCCTTCCCTGCATCCTGGGTACCAATTTTGACGTGAGCATCCTTCATCCTTACCTGCATCCTGGGTACCAATTTGGACCTGAGCATCCTTCCTCCTTCCCTGCATCCCGGGTACCAATTTTGACCTGAGCATCCTTCCTCCTTCCCTGCATCCTGGGTACCAATTTTGACCTGAGCATCCTTCATCCTTCCCTGCATCCTGGGTACCAATTTTGACGTGAGCATCCTTCATCCTTCCCTGCATCCTGGGTACCAATTTTGACCTGAGCATCCTTCATCCTTACCTGCCTCCTGGGTACCAATTTTGACCTGAGCATCCTTCATCCTTCCCTGCATCCTGGGTACCAATTTTGACGTGAGCATCCTTCATCCTTCCCTGCATCCTGGGTACCAATTTTGACCTGAGCATCCTTCATCCTTCCCTGCATCCTGGGTACCAATTTTGACCTGAGCATCCTTCATCCTTACCTGCATCCTGGGTACCAATTTTGACCTGAGCATCCTTCATCCTTCCCTGCATCCTGGGTACCAATTTTGACCTGAGCATCCTTCATCCTTACCTGCATCCTGGGTACCAATTTTGACCTGAGCATCCTTCCTCCTTACCTGCATCCTGGGTACCAATTTTGACCTGAGCATCCTTCATCCTTACCTGCATCCCGGGTACCAATTTTGACCTGAGCATCCTTCATCCTTCCCTGCATCCTGGGTACCAATTTTGACCTGAGCATCCTTCCTCCTTACCGCATCCCGGGTACCACATTTTGACCTGAGCATCCTTCATCCTTCACCTTCCTGCATCCTGGGTACCAATTTGGACCTGAGCATCCTTCCTCCTTACCTGCATCCTGGGTACCAATTTGGACCAGAGCATCTTTCCATTCTCCTCCGCATCCCGGGTACCACTCTGCCTCCCTCTGAGCATCCTTCATCCTTCCCTGCATCCCTCTCAGCATCTTTGGGTACCAATTTGAGCATCCTTCCTCCTGCTCCGCATCCTTTTCCGCATCCCGGGTACCACTCTGCCTCCCTCTCAGCATCCTTCCTCCTTCTCCGCATCCCTCTCAGCATCCTGGGTACCAATTTGCACCAGAGCATCTTTCCATCCTTCCTCCTTCTCTGCATCTTTGGGTACCAATTTGCATCTGAGCATCCTTCATCCTTCCCTGCATCCCTCTCAGCATCTTTGGGTACCCATTTGAGGATCCTTCCTCCTCAGAATCTCGGGTACCACTCTGCCTCCCTCTGAGCATCCTTCCTCCTTCTCCGCATCCCTCTCCGCATTCCGGGTACCACTCTGCCTCCCTCTCAGCATCCTTCCTCCTCAGCATCCTTCATCCTTCCCTGCATCCCTCTCAGCATCTTTGGGTACCAATTTGAGCATCCTTCCTCCTTCTCCGCATCCTTTTCCGCATCCCGGGTACCACTCTGCCTCCCTCTGAGCATCCTTCCTCCTTCCCTGCATCCCTCTCAGCATCTTTGGGTACCAATTTGAGCATCCTTCATCCCTCTCCGCATCCCGGGTACCACTCAGCCTTCCTCTGAGCATCCTTCCTCCTCAGCATCCTTCATCCTTCCCTGCATCCCTCTCAGCATCTCTGGGTACCAATTTGAGCATCCTTCCTCCTTCTCTGCATCCTTCTCCGCATCCCGGGTACCACTCTGCCTCCCTCTCAGCATCCTTCCTCCTTCCCTGCATCCCTCTCAGCATCTTTGGGTACCAATTTGAGCATCCTTCCTCCTCCTCAGCATCCCTCTCCGCATCCCGGGTACCACTCTCCATCCCTCTGAGCATCCTTCATCCTTCCCTGCATCCCTCTCAGCATCTTTGGGTACCACTCAGCATCCTTCATCCCTCTCCGCATCCCGGGTACCACTCAGCCTCCCTCTGAGCATCCTTCCTCCTCAGCATCCTTCATCCTTCCCTGCATCCCTCTCAGCATCTTGGGTACCAATTTCCACCAGAGCATCTTTCCATCCTTCCTCCTTCTCTGCATCTTTGGGTACCAATTTGCATCTGAGCATCCTTCATCCTTCCCTGCATCCCTCTCAGCATCCTTGGGTACCAATTTGAGCATCCTTCCTCCTCTGCATCCTTTTCCGCATCCCGGGTACCACTCAGCCTCCCTCTCAGCATCCTTCCTCCTCAGCATCCTTCATCCTTCCCTGCATCCCTCTCCGCATCCCGGGTACCACTCAGCCTCCCTCTGAGCATCCTTCATCCCTCTCCGCATCCCTCTCCGCATCCCGGGTACCACTCGGCCTCCCTCTCAGCATCCTTCCTCCTTCTCCGCATCCCTCATCCCTCTCCGCATCCCGGGTACCACTCTGCCTCCCTCTGAGCATCCTTCCTCCTTCTCCGCATCCCTCTCCGCATCCCGGGTACCACTCGGCCTCCCTCTGAGCATCCTTCCTCCTCAGCATCCTTCATCCTTCCCTGCATCCCTCTCAGCATCTTTGGGTACCAATTTGAGCATCCTTCCTCCTCCTCAGAATCTCGGGTACCACTCTGCCTCCCTCTCAGCATCCTTCATCCTTCTCCGCATCCCTCTGAGCATCCTTCCTCCTTCTCTGCCTCCCTCTGACCATCCTTCATCCTTCTCAGCATCCCTCTCAGCATCTTTGGGTACCAATTTGAGCATCCTTCCTCCTCCTCTGCATCCTTCTCCGCATCCCGGGTACCACTCTGCCTCCCTCTCAGCATCCTTCCTCCTTCTCCGCATCCCGGGTACCACTCTGCCTCCCTCTCAGCATCCTTCCTCCTCAGCATCCTTCATCCTTCCCTGCATCCCTCTCAGCATCTTTGGGTACCACTCAGCATCCTTCATCCCTCTCCGCATCCCGGGTACCACTCTGCCTCCCTCTGAGCATCCTTCATCCCTCTCCGCATCCCGGGTACCACTCAGCCTCCCTCTCAGCATCCTTCCTCCTCAGCATCCTTCATCCTTCCCTGCATCCCTCTCAGCATCTTTGGGTACCAATTTCAGCATCCTTCCTCCTTCTCCGCATCCCGGGTACCACTCTGCCTCCCTCTGACCATCCTTCATCCTTCCCTGCATCCCTCTCAGCATCTTTGGGTACCAATTTGAGCATCCTTCCTCCTTCTCCGCATCCCAGGTACCAATTTGGACCAGAGCATCCTTCATCCCTTTCTGCATCCTCAGCATCTTTGGGTACCAATTTGGACCAGAGCATCTTTCCATCCTTCTCCGCATCCCGGGTACCAATTGCAGCATCTTTCCTCTTCCTCGGCCAATCGGATCGCAGGGAAGGCAAGGACCCCTCCCCCTCCCTCTTCCGGAAGCTTCCGGATCGCCTGGAACCCGGCGCCTGATCCGTCGATCGGTTGATTGACAGGTGAGAAGGGATCCTGCCAGGTCATCCGGACTGACCCCGAATATGATGGAGAATGATTGACAGCGTGGGGCTGGGGTGATTGACAGTATATGGAGAGTGATTGACAGAAGATGGAGAATGATTGACAGGGGAGATTGATGGAAGAGGGAGAATGACTGACGGGAGAATGATGGAAGAGGGAAAATGATTGACGGGAGGTCTAGGGTGATTGACAGAATATGGAGAATGATTGACAGAAGATGGAGAATGATTGACAGGGGAGATTGATGGAAGAGGGAGAATGATTGACAGGGGAGGGCTAGGGTTGATTGACAGAATATGGAGAATGATTGACAGGGGAGAATGATGGAAGATGGAGAATGATTGACAGGGGAGGGCTAGGGTGATTGACAGGATATGGAGAATGATTGACAGGGGAGAATGATGGAAGATGGAGAGTGATTGACAGGGGAGAATGATGGAAGATGGAGAATGATTGACAGGGGAGGGCTAGGGTGATTGACAGGATATGGAGAATGATTGACGGGAGAATGATGGAAGATGGAGAATGATTGACAGGGGAGGGCTATGGTGATTGACAGGATATGGAGAATGATTGACAGGGGAGAATGATGGAAGATGGAGAATGATTGACAGGGGAGGGCTAGGGTGATTGACAGGATATGGAGAATGATTGACAGGGGAGAATGATGGAAGGTGGAGAATGATTGACAGGGGAGAATGATGGAAGATGGAGAGTGATTGACAGGGGAGAATGATGGAAGATGGAGAGTGATTGACAGGGGAGAATGATGGAAGAGGGAGAGTGATTGACAGGGGAGAATGATGGAAGAGGGAGAATGATTGACAGGAGAGAATGATGGAAGATGGAGAATGATTGACAGGAGAGAATGATGGAAGATGGAGAATGATTGACAGGGGAGGGCTAGGGTGATTGACAGGATATGGAGATTGATTGACAGGGGAGAATGATGGAAGATGGAGAATGACTGACAGGCGAGGGCTAGGGTGATTGACAGGATATGGAGAATGATTGACAGGTGAGAATGATGGAAGATGGAGAGTGATTGACAGGGGAGAATGATGGAAGATGGAGAGTGATTGACAGGGGAGAATGATGGAAGGTGGAGAGTGATTGACAGGGGAGAATGATGGAAGGTGGAGAGTGATTGACAGGGGAGAATGATGGAAGAGGGAGAATGATGGAAGATGGAGAGTGATTGACAGGGGAGAATGATGGAAGGTGGAGAATGATTGACGGGAGGTCTAGGGTGATTGACAGAATATGGAGAATGATTGACAGAATATGGAGAATGATTGACAGGGGAGATTGATGGAAGAGGGAGAATGACTGACAGGGGAGAATGATGGAAGATGGAGAATGATTGACAGGGGAGGGCTAGGGTGATTGACAGCTAGAATATCCCAGGATGATTGACAGGGGAGGGCTAGTGTTGATTGACAGGATATGGAGAATGATTGACAGGGGAGAATGATGGAAGATGGAGACTGATTGACAGGGGAGAATGATGGAAGAGGGAGAATGATTGACAGGGGAGAATGATGGAAGATGGAGAATGATTGACGGGAGAGAATTTATATACATACATATCTATATATTTATATATATATCTATATATATATATATGGCTTTTATTATTTTTATATTTCACCATCTCCGGCCCAGAGGGAACGTTCCCGGAAACCCTGCCCACTTCCTGCCCGACAGGAAGTGACCTCGCAGAGTCCTCTCTAGCCCATATCCCCCAAGCGCCGCTTGTTGCTCTGCTTCCCCCTTCCAGGCTCTGAGTGCGAAGAAGGCTCCGAACTCCGGACCGAACGCCTGGCTTTCCGCTTGCAGGAAAAAGGGGGGAAGTTCGCCCGCTTCCTGGGAGCTGCAAGGCGCCACCCTGACCCCGTGGCTCCAGGTGGGTAGCTTGGGGGGTGAAGAAGTGGAAATAAGTGAAAAAATAAGTGAAAAAAATCCTCAGTGTGTTTTGATTTTAGTGGAAATTAAAATTTCAGGAGGTATTGTGTTCATTGTATGTAGTGGATAGTAGAAATAAAATTAGATAAAATTATTGTAATATATATATGTGTATATATATATATATTATTGTTATTATATTATATTATATAATATTATATTATAATATAATATTATATTATATATTATAATAGTATATGATATATATATAATTATTATGTTATATATTATATTATATATTGTGTTAATTATATGTAGTGGATAGTATAAATAAAATTATATAAAATTATTATATATTATTATAATATATACATGTGTATATATATATACATATATATATATAATTGTTATTATTATTATATTATATTATAATATATTATATAATAATATATTATAATATTATATATATATATAATTCTTATATTATATATTATGTTAATTATATGTAGTGGATAGTATAAATAAAATTATATAAAATTATTATATATTATTATAATATATATATATGTATATATATATATAATTGTTATTATTATTATATTATATTCTATTATATTCTATTATAATATTATATTATATATATATATAATTCTTATATTATATTATATTATATTATATTATATTATATTCTTATATTATATTATTATATTATTACAATTAAAATGAAAAAAATAAGCTTTCCTTGCATGGAAAATCCCCTCTGGGCTTCCAAAACACTATGGAAATGCATATTGTGGGAAAAAAAGGAAGAAAATAAGCTTCCCTTGCGTGGAAACCCCCCTCTAGGATCCCAGAACTCTATGGCATGTGGGGGAACGAGTTCGAATCTTGAATGGAAAATCCCCTCTAGGCTTCTAGAACTCTATGGAAATGCATGTTGTTAAAAAAAAAGGAAAAAACAAGCTTTCCTCGCATGGAAAATCCCCTCTAGGCTTCTAGAACTCGATGAAAACACATACTGTAAAATGGGGGAATAAGCTTTCTTGCATGAAAAATCCACTCTAGGATTCTACAACTCTACGGAAACGCATGCCGTAAAAAAAAAAAAGGACTTGCATGGAAAATCCCCTCTAGGCTTCTAGAACTCCATGGTAAGCTTCACTTGCATGGGAAAATCCCCTCTAGGCTTCTAGAACTCCATGGTAAGCTTCCCTTGCATGGGAAAATCCCCTCTAGGCTTCTAGAACTCCATGGTAAGCTTCCCTTGCATGGGAAAATCCCCTCTAGGCTTCTAGAACTCCATGGTAAGCTTCCCTTGCATGGGAAAATCCCCTCTAGGCTTCTAGAACTCTATGGAAATGCATGCTGTAAAAAAAAAAAAAGAACAAAATCTGACTTCCTTGCATGGAAAATCCATTCTAGGCCTCTAGAACTCTATGGCAATGCATGCGATGAGAAAAGGGAAACGAAATCGCATGGAAAATCCCTCTAGGATCCTAGAACTCTATTGAAATACATATTGTAAAAAAGGATGAAGGAAAAACTTCCCTTGCATTTAAAATCCCCTCTAGGATTCTAGAACTCTTTGGAAATGCATGCCGTTAAAAAAAAGGGACTTGTAGGAAGAAAAAAAATCCCCTCTAGGCTTCTAGAACTCTATGGAAATGCATTTTGGGGGCCGGAAATAAGGTTTATTTGCATGAGGGGGGGGATTCCCCTCTAGGATTCTAGAACTCTATGGCAATGCATATTGTAAAATACGGGGAAAATCAACTTTCCTCACCTGGAAAATCCCCTCTAGGCTTCTAGAACTCTATGGAAATGCATGTTGGGGGCAGGAAATAAGGTTTATTTGCATGGGGGGGGATTCCCCTCTAGGATTCTAGAACTCTATGGAAATAAATCTTGTTAAAAAAAATTATTTGCATGAAAAATCCCCTCTAGGATTATAGAACTCTATGGAAATAAATATCGTATATATAAAAAAAAATTATTTGTGTGAAAAATCCCCTCTAGGATCCTAGAACTCTATGGAAATGCATATTGTAAAAAGAAAGAGAGAGAGAAAAAGGTCCACTCTAGGATTCTAGAACTCTATGGAAATAAATCTTGAAAAAAAATTCTTTGCATGAAAAATCCCCTCTAGGATCCTAGAACTCTATGGAAATGCATATTGTAAAAGGGGGGGGGGGTCCACTCTAGGATCCTAGAACTCTATGGAAATGCATATTGTAAAAAGAAGGGGGGGTCCACTCTAGGATTCTAGAACTCTATGGAAATGCATGTTGTAAAAAAGGGGGGGGAGGAATCAACTTTCCTAAAATCCCCTCTAGGATTATAGAAATCTATGGAAATAAATATCGTAAAAAAAAAAAAATCTTTGCATGAAAAATCCCCTCTAGGATCCTAGAACTCTATGAAAATGCATATTGTAAAAAGAAAGAGAGAGAGAAAAAAAGGTCCACTCTAGGATTCTACAACTCTATGGAAATAAATCTTGTAAAAAAAAAAAAATTCTTTGCATGAAAAATCCCCTCTAGGATCCTAGAACTCTATGGAAACGCATATTGTAAAAAGAAAGAAAGAGGGGGGGGAAAGATCCACTCTAGGATTCTAGACCTCTATGGAAACACACCCTCTTCGAAACAGGAAACGGAAGCAGCTTCCTGGAAAACCCCCTCTAGCCTCCCACAACTCTACGCCACCTCCGAATCGCCCCTCTAGCCCCTCTCTCTCTCTCTCTCTCTCCCCCAGGTCCTCCCGCCGCCATCATCCCTTCCTTCCCAGGAGGATGCGTCCCCGGGCCCGCCTCAAAGCCCGCCCCCCCGCTTCCTCTTCCTGCCCCGCCTCCCGACGTTAGCCAGGTGACCGCCCTCCTCATGTCCTGCCTCAAGGGGCCTCCGGGGCCCAACAGGAAGTTCAGCGAGGTCGGCAGGAAGTTCTCCAACCACGACGTCCTTGCCGGCAGGAAGTTCCCCAACAACGACGCCTTCGCCGACAGGAAGTTCCCCCCCAGCGACGTCCTGCCCAACAGGAAGTTCCCCCCCAACGACCTCCTCCTCGCCAACAGGAACTTCAACGAGGCCAACAGGAAGTTCCCCCCCAGCGACGCCTTCGCCGACAGGAAGTTCCCCCCCAGCGACGTCCTCCCCAACGACATCCTTCCCAACAGGAAGTTCCCCCCCAGCGACGTCCTCGCCAACAGGAACTTCAACGAGGCCAACAGGAAGTTCCCCCCCGGCCAAGAGGTGCTCGCCAGCAGGCAGTTCAACGAGGCCAACGACGGCCTCCCCAACAGGAAGTTCCCCCCCAGCGACCTCCTCGCCAACAGGAACTTCAACGAGGCCCACAGGAAGTTCCCCCCCCGCGACCGCCTCGCCCACAGGAACTTCAACGAGGCCAACAGGAAGTTCAACGAGGCCAGCGACGTCCTCCCCAACAGGAAGTTCCCCCCCCAACGACCTCCTCCCCAACAGGAAGTTCCCCCCCAGCGACCTCCTCCCCAACAGGAAGCTCCCCGAGCTCCGCAGGAAGTTCCCCCCCGGCCACGAGGTCATCGCCAACGAGGGCGTGGCCAAGCCCCTCGACTCGAACCCGCCCCCCGTTTTCTACCCGGCGACCGGGGCGGAAGTGATCGCCAACCAGTACGCCCTCCCCGCCAGTCCTCCCGGCGAATCCCTAGAGTGCCCCACCTGCGGCCACGCCTACAACTCCGCCCACAAGAGGCCCCGCCTCCTCTCCTGCCTCCATTCGGTCTGCGAAGAATGTCTGCAGATCCTCTACCAATCCTGTCCCAAGTACAAGTTCATTTCCTGCCCCTCCTGCCAACGGGAAACCGTCCTCTTCACCGACTACGGATTGGCCGCCCTGGCCGTCAACACCCGCCTCCTGGCCCGCCTCCCCCAGGCCGAGCCGGCCAATCGCAACCCGCCGCCCTGGGGCGCCGGCGAATCGGAGAGAGGCTGCTACCAGAGCTTCCGGCAGTATTGCGGGGCGGCGTGTAATTGCCGGGTGAGGAACCCGGTGGGGGCCTGCGTCGTCATGTGACGCGGAGTCGAACCCGGAGCCGGGAGGACGGAGTGGGAGTCGAACCCGGAGCCGGGAGCCTGGAATGGGACTTGAACTCGGAGCCCTTCATGGATTTGAACCCGGAGCCCAGTAGCCTGTCATGTGATTTGAACCCGGAGCTCGGAAGAACATCATGTGATTTGAACCTGAGACCCAGGAACCCGGAGGGATTCGGAGCCTGGAATGGGACTTGAACCTCGGAGCCCTTCATGGGATTTGAACCCGGAGCCCGGGAGGCCGTCATGTGACTTGAACCCAGAGCCCTGTCATGGGACTTGGAGCCAGAGCCCGGTCCTGGGACTCTGAACCCAGGACCTGGGAGCCGGTCCTTTGATTTGAACCCGAGACCCGGAAGCCGGAGGGGGACTCGAACCCGCAACCCGGGAGCCCGTCATGGGACTTGAACCCAGGACCAGGGAGCCCATCATGTGATTCGAACCCGCAACCCGAGACCCCGTAAGCCCGTCGTGTGTCTTGAACCCGGGACCCATCGAATTTCGTCGTGCGCCGTCATGTGACTCGGACCCAGAGCCGGGAGGCCGTCATGGGACTCGAACCCGGGAGCCCGTCGTGTGTCTTGAACCCGGGACCCGTCGCATTTCGCCCATTTGCCGTCCTCCATTTCGTCGAGGGTCTTGAACCCGGGACATGGGACCCCGTCCTGGGACTCGAACCCAGGACCCGCCACCTGCACCGTCCTGGGACTCGAACCCGGGACATGGGACCTGTCCAATTCCCACCCGGTCGAATTCGGGGCTTCGTCGTCGCCTCACGGGATTCGAACCCGCGACCCGTCATGTGACTTGAACCCGCGATGTGTCCTGTGCCGTCAGGTGATTCGAACCCGTCACCCAACTCAACTCCGGGACATCGAATCCGTCGAATCGAACCCGGCGCTGGACAAAGCAGGCCTTCCGTCCCTCGGTCCCTCGAACCCGGGACCTGCCAGCCCGTCACGTGACTCGAACCCGCAACCTGTCCGATGTCGTGCGCCGTCATGGGACTCGAACCCGGAACCCGGGACCTACAAGCGCGTCACGTGACTCGAACCCGCAACCCGTCCGATGTCATGTGACTCGAACCCGGGACCCGGGACCTACAAGCAAATCACATGACTCGAACCCGCAACCCGTCCGATGTCATGTGACTCGAACCCGCCACCCGTCGCCCCGTCCTGGGACTTGAACCCGCGATCTGGGAGCCCGTCACGTGACTCGAACCCGCAACCCGTCTGATGTCCTGCGCCGTCATGCGATTCGAACCCGCAACCCGCCCGATGTCACGTGACTCAAACCCGCCACCCGTCGCCCCGTCCTGGGACTCGAACCCGTGATCTGGCAGCCCGTCACATGACTCGAACCCGCAACCCGCCCGATGTCATGTGACTCGAACCCGGGACCAGGGACCTACAAGCAAATCACATGACTCGAACCCGCAACCCGTCCGATGTCATGTGACTCGAACCCGCCACCCGTCGCCCCGTCCTGGGACTTGAACCCGCGATCTGGGAGCCCGTCACGTGACTCGAACCCGCAACCCGTCTGATGTCCTGCGCCGTCATGTGATTCGAACCCGCAACCCGTCCGATATCACGTGACTCGAACCCGGGACCTGGGACCTGCCAGCCCATCACATGACTTGAACCCGCAACCCGTCCGATATCATGTGACTCGAACCCGCAACCCGCCCGATGTCCTGCGCCGTCATGTGACTCGAACCCGCAACCCGCCCGATGTCCTGCGCCGTCACGTGACTCGAACCCGGGACCTACCAGCCCGTCACATGACTCGAACCCGCAACCCGTCCGAGGTCACGTGACTCGAACCCGCCACCCGTCGCCCCGTCCTGGGACTTGAACCCGCGATCTGGCAGCCCGTCCGGCGATTCGAACCCGTCGCCCGACTCGACTCGAACCCGGCGCCGCCTGGGAGGAACGCCTGCCGATCCTCGACCAATCGCGTCCCAAGTCCAAGTTCCTTTCCTGCCCCTCCTGCCAACGGGAAAGCGTCCTCTTCACCGACATCATGTGATTCGAACCCGGGACATGGGACACAGGAGCCTGTCATGGGACTTGAACCCAGGACCAGGGAGCCCATCATGTGATTTGAACCCGGGACATGGGACACAGGAGCCTGTCATGGGACTTGAACCCGCGATCTGGGAGCCCATCATGTGATTTGAACCCGGGACACGGGACACAGGAGCCTGTCATGGGACTTGAACCCGCGATCTGGGAGCCCATCATGTGATTTGAACCCGGGACACGGGACACAGGAGCCTGTCATGTGATTCGAACCCGGGACATGGGACACAGGAGCCTGTCATGGGACTTGAACCCGCGATCTGGGAGCCCATCATGTAATTTGAACCCGGGACACGGGACACAGGAGCCTGTCCTGGGACTTGAACCCGCGATCCGGCAGCCCGTCAGGTGATTCGAACCCGTCGCCCAACTGGACTCCGTCGAATCGAACCCGGCGCCGCCTGCCGATCCTCGACCAATCGCGTCCCAAGTCCAAGTTCCTTTCCTGCCCCTCCTGCCAACGGGAAACGGTCCTCTTCCCCGACTACCGATTGGCCGCCCTGGCCGTCAACACCCGCCTCCTGGCCCGCCTCCCCCCGGCCGAGCCGGCCAATCGCAACCCGCCGCCCTGGGGCGCCGGCCAATCGGAGAGAGGCTGCTCCCAGAGCTTCCGGCAGTATTGCGGGGCGGCGTGTAATTGCCGGGTGAGGAAGCCGGTGGGGGCCTGCGTCGTCATGTGACGCGGAGTCGAACCCGGAGCCGGGACCCCGTCATGTGATTCCGTCCCAGAGCCCTGTCCTGGGACTTGAACCCAGGACCAGGGAGCCCGTCATGTGATTCGAACCCAGGACACGGGACACAGGAGCCTGTCGTGGGACTTGTCATGGGTCCTTTGATTTGAACCCGAGACCCAGGAACCCGGAGTGGGACTTGAACCCAGAGCCCTGTCATGGGACTTGGAGCCAGAGCCCTTCATGTGATTTGAACCTGGAGCCTGGAACCCTGTCATGTGATTCGAACCCGGAGCCCGGAACCCTGTCATGTGATTCGAACCCAGGAGTGGGATTCGGAGCCCAGGAGCCCGTCATGTGTCTTGAACCCGGGTCGCCGGGTCGATTCGAACCCGGAGCCAGGAAGAACATCATGTGATTCGAACCCGGGAGCCTGGAGTGGGATTCGGACCCAGAGTCCGGGAGCCTGGAATAGGACTTGAACCCAGGACCAGGGAGCCCATCATGTGATTTGAACCCGGGACACAGGACACAGGAGCCTGTCATGGGACTTGAACCCAGGACCAGGGAGCTCATCATGTGATTTGAACCCGGGACATGGGACACAGGAGCCTGTCATGGGACTTGAACCCAGGACCAGGGAGCCCATCATGTGATTTGAACCCGGGACACGGGACACAGGAGCCCGTCATGTGATTCGAACCCGGGACATGGGACACAGGAGCCTGTCATGGGACTTGAACCCGCGATCCGGCAGCCCGTCACGTGACTCGAACCCGCAAACCGTCCGATGTCATGTGACTCGAACCCGGGACCAGGGACCTACAAGCCCGTCACGTGACTCGAACCCGCAACCCGCCCGATGTCACGTGACTCGAACCCACAAATGTCTGCAGATCCTCTACCAATCCTGTCCCAAGTCCAAGTTCCTTTCCTGCCCCTCCTGCCAACGGGAAACCGTCCTCTTCCCCGACTACCGATTGGCCGCCCTGGCCGTCAACACCCGCCTCCTGGCCCGCCTCCCCCCGGCCAAGCCGGCCAATCGCAACCCGCCCCCCTGGGGCGCCGGCCAATCGGAGAGAGGCTGCTCCCAGAGCTTCCGGCAGTATTGCGGGGCGGCGTGTAATTGCCGGGTGAGGAAGCCGGTGGGGGCCTGCGTCGTCATGTGACGCGGAGTCGAACCCGGAGCCGGGACCCCGTCATGTGATTCTGTCCCAGGAGCCTGTCTTGAACCCAGGACCAGGGAGCCCAATGTGTGATTCGAACCCAGGACACGGGAGCCAGGAGTGGGATTCGGACCCAGAGTCCGGGAGCCTGGAATGGGACTTGAACCCGGAGCCCGGGAGGCCGTCATGTGACCCTGTCCTGGGACTTGAAACCAAGGACCTTTGATTTGAACCCGAGACCCAGGAACCCGGAGTGGGATTCGGAGCCTGGAATGGGATTTGAACCCAGAGCCCAGTAGCCCGTCATGTGAGTTGAAACCGGAGCCCTGTCATGTGACTCGAACCCGGAGCCGGGAGGACGGAGTGGGAGTCGAACCCGGAGCCGGGAGGACGGAGTGGGAGTCGAACCCGGAGCCGGGAGGACGGAGTGGCCCGGGACCCCGTCATGTGACTTGAACCCAGAGCCCTGTCATGGGACTTGAACCCAGGACCAGGGAGCCCATCGTGTGATTCGAACACGGGACACAGGAGCCTGTCATGTGATTCGAACCCAGGACACGGGACACAGGAGCCTGTCATGGGACTTGAACCCAGGCCCTGGGAGCCGGTCCTTTGATTTGAACCCGAGACCCAGGAGCCAGGAGTGGGATTTGGAGCCAGAGCCCAGAAGCCCGTCATGTGATTTGAACCCGGAGCCTGCAACCCTGTCATGTGATTCGAACCCAGGACACGGGAGCCAGGAGTGGGATTCGGAGCCCGTCATGTGTCTTGAACCCGCAACCCGTCCGATGTCGTGCGCCGTCACGCGACTCGAACCCGGGACCCGGGACCTACCAGCCCGTCACGTGACTCGAACCCGCAACCCGCCTGATGTCCTGCGCCGTCACGTGACTCGAACCTGGGACCCGGGACCTACAAGCCCGTCACGTGACTCGAACCCGCAACCCCTCCGATGTCGTGCGCCGTCACATGACTCGAACCCGGGACCCGTCGCATTTCCCACATCCTGACCATTTCAGGGACGAATTCCCGGCAACCGGCCTCTGTGATTGGACGGTTTCAGGGCTCTGTCGCCGGGCAGTTTACAGTCAATCCCCCAACCTGGCTCTGTCATTGGACGATTTCAGAGCTCTGTCGCCGGGCGGTTTTCCTTCGCTGCCTACGGGACTCCGTCATTGGACGATTTCACGGCTCTGTTGCCGGGCGGATTCTGGGCCCTGCTCAACGGGATTCTGTCATTGGACGATTTCCCAGCGCCATCTGACCGGACTCTGTCATTGGATGATTTCAGGGCTCTGTCGCCGGGCAGTTTACAGTCAATCCCCCAACCTGGCTCTGTCATTGGACGGTTTCAGAGCTCTGTTGCCGGGCGGATTCTGGGCCCTGCTCAACGGAGCTCCATCATTGGACGATTTCGGGGCTCTGTTGCCGGGCAGTTTACGGGTAACCACCCAATAAGACTCTATCATTGGATGATTTCCTGGCTCCGCCCAACAAGACTCTTCTCATTGGACGACTTCTGGGCTCTGTCGCCGGGCGGTTTACAGGCAATCCCCCAACCTGCCTCTGTCATTGGATGATTTCCGGGCTCTGTCGCCGGGCGGTTTCCCTTCTCTGCCAACCGGACTCCGTCATTGGACGATTTCCCAGCGCCATCTGACCAGACTCTGTCATTGGATGATTTCGGGGCTCTGTTGCCGGGCGGATTCTGGGCCCTGCTCAACAGGACTCTGTCATTGGACAATTTCATTTGCCAGCTCCGCCCAACGGAGCTCCATCATTGGACGATTTCAGGGCTCTGTTGCCGGGCAGTTTACGGACGTTGCCCAACAGGGCTCCCTCATTGGATAATTTCCAGGCTCCGCCCAACAAGACTCTTGTCATTGGACGACTTCTGGGCTCTGTTGCCGGGCAGTTTACAGGCCATTGCCCCAGAGGATGCTGCCATTGGACGATTTCGAGGCTCTGTTGCCGGGCGCTTTTCGACTGCTGCTCAACGGAGCTCTGTGATTGGACGATTTCAGGGCTCTGTTGCCGGGCAGTTTACAGGCGATTGCCCAACCTGGCTCTGTCATTGGACCATTTCAGGGCTCTGTTGCCGGGCAGTTTACGGGTAACCACCCTATGAGACTCTGTCATTGGAGGATTTCCTGGCTCCGCCCAACGGCGCTCCCTGATTGGATGATTCCCTGGGGCCACAAAGGGGCGGAGCTTGCAAAGGATCATAGAGAGGGAAGGGACCTCTCTAGGACATCCAAGCGGTTCTGAGGGGATCATAGAGAGGGAAGGGACCCCTCCAGGTCAAGGATCATAGAGAGGGAAGGGACCTCTCTAGGACATCCAAGTGGTTCTGAGGGATCATAGAGAGGGAAGGGACCCCTCCAGGTCAAGGATCATAGAGAGAGAAGGGACCTCTCTAGGACATCCAAGTGGTTCTGAGGGGATCATAGAGAGGGAAGGGACCTCTCTAGGACATCCAAGTGGTTCTGAGGGGATCATAGAGAGGGAAGGGACCCCTCCAGGTCCTCCAGCCTGACCCCCTTGCAAAGGATCATAGAGAGAGAGAGAGAGAAGGGACCTCTCTAGGACATCCAAGTGGTTCTGAGGGGATCATAGAGAAGGAAGGGACCCCTCCAGGTCAAGGATCATGGAGAGAGAAGGGACCCCTCCAGGTCCTCCAGCCTGACCCCCCTTGCAAAGGACCATAGAAGGGACCTCTCTAGGACATCCAAGTGGTTCTGAGGGGATCATAGAGAGGGAAGGGACCCCTCCAGGTCAAGGATCATAGAGAGAGAAGGGACCCCTTCCAGGTCCTCCAGCCTGACCCCCTTGCAAAGGATCATAGAGAGGGAAGGGACCCCTCCAGGTCAAGGATCATAGAGAGAGAAGGGATCTCTCTAGGACATCCAGGCGGTTCTGAGGGGACCATAGAGAGGGAAGGGACCCCTCCAGGTCCTCCAGCCTGACCCCCTTGCAAAGGATCATAGAGAGGGAAGGGACCCCTCCAGGTCAAGGATCATAGAGAGAGAAGGGACCTCTCTAGGACATCCAGGCGGTTCTGAGGGGACCATAGAGAGGGAAGGGACCCCTCCAGGTCATCCAGCCAGACCACCTGGCAAGAGGTTATGGGGGGACCATAGAGACGGGAGGCCAGGAATCCTAGAAGGCTTGAGCCAGAAGGGAAGCCCTGAGGGTGCTCCAGCCTGACCCCCTTGCAAAGGACCATAGAGAGGGAAGGGACTTCTCTAGGACATTCAGCACCTTATGAGGGGATCGTAGAGAGGGAAGGGACCTCTCTAGGACCTCCAGTGATCATAGGGAAGTGACCCCTCCAGGTCCTCCAGCCTGACCCCCTTGCAAAGGATCATAGAGAGAGAGAGACAAGGGACCTCTCTAGGACCTCCAGCCCAGTTATCAGGGGATCATAGAGAGGGAAGGGACCTCTCTAGGACATCCAGGCGGTTCTGAGGGGACCATAGAGAGGGAAGGGACCCCTCCAGGTCATCCAGCCAGACCACCTGGCAAGAGGTTATGGGGGACCATAGAGACGGGAGGCCAGGAATCCTAGAAGGGTTGAGCCAGAAGGGAAGCCCTGAGGGTCCTCCAGCCTGACCCCCTTGCAAAGGACCATAGAGAGGGAAGGGACATCTCTAGGACATCCAGCACCTCATGAGGGGATCATAGAGAGGGAAGGGCCCTCTCTAGGACATCCAGCCCGTTCTTAGGGGATCATAGAGAGGGAAGGGACCTCTCTAGGACATCCAGCCCGTTCTTAGGGGATCATAGAGAGGGAAGGGACCTCTCTAGGACCTCCAGTGATCATAGGGAAGTGACCCCGCCAGGGACCTCCAGCCTGACCCCTTGCAAAGGATCATAGAGAGAGACCTCTCTAGGACCTCCAGCCCAGTTATCAGGGGATCATAGAGAGGGAAGGGACCTCTCTAGGACCTCCAGTGATCATAGGGAAGTGACCCCTCCAGGTCCTCCAGCCTGACCCCCTTGCAAAGGATCATAGAGAGAGACAAGGGACCTCTCTGGGACCTCCAGCCCAGTTATCAGGGGATCACAGCGAGGGAAGGGACCTCTCTAGGACATCCAGCACATTAGGGGATCATAGAGAGGGAAGGGACCCCTCCCGGTCCTCCAGCCTGACCCTTCTAGGATTCCTCAGCCCCCCCCCCCAATTTCCCATCAAGCTTTGCTTACCCTCCAAGCCCGGGTTCAACATCTCCAGGCGGGGACAATCTAGGATTTGGACACCGAGTGGGACCCCCAATGGTCATCCAGACCGACCCGCCCCATGGAAGCCCCTCTAGGACGCCATCTTTGACCCAACTTGTTCCCGTTCTTGCGAATGCCCTCAATAAAGAGATATATATATATATATATTCCTGGGACTGGATTGATAATCAATAACACAGGGCTGGATCGATCATCAATAACACAGGGCTGGATTGATAATTAATCACACGGGGATGGATTGATAACCAATCACATGGGGTTGGATTGATAACCAATAACACAGGGCTGGATTGATAATCAATCACACGGGCATAGATCGATAATCAATCACACGGGGCTGGGTTGATAATCAATAACATGGGGATGGGTTGATAATCAATAACATGGGGATGGATTGATAACCAATAACACAGGGCTGGGTTGATAATCAATAACACAGGGCCAGATCAATCACTCAATATTTAAATGATTTATTGGATTGATAATCAATCACACAGGGCTGGATCGATCATCAATAACACAGGGTTGGATTGATAATCAATAACACAGGGCTGGATTGATAATCAATCACATGGGGATGGATTGATAACCAATAACACAGGTCTGGGTTGATAACCAATATCACAGGTCTGGGTTGATAATCACAACACGGGGCCAGATCAATCACTCAATATTTAAATGTTTTATTGGACTGATAATCAATCACACAGGGCTGGATCGATCATCAATAACACAGGGCTGGATTGATAACCAATCACATGGGGTTGGATTGATAACCAATAACACAGGGCTGGATTGATAATTAATCACACGGGGATGGATTGATAATCAATAACACGGGGCTGGATTGATAATCAATAACATGGGGTTGGATTGATAATCAACAACACAGGGCTGGATTGATAATCAATCACACAGGGCTGGATCGATAATCAATCACACAGGGCTGGGTTGATAATCAATAACACAGGGCTTGATCGATAATCAATCACAGGGCTGGACTGATAATTAATAACATGGGGATGGATTGATAACCAATAACACGGGGCTGGGCTGATAATCAATCACACGGGCTGGATTGATAACCAATAACACAGGTCTGGGTTGATAACCAATATCACAGGTCTGGGTTGATAATCAATAACACGGGGCCAGATCAATCACTCAATATTGAAATGATTTATTGGATTGATAATCAATCACACAGGGCTGGATCGATCATCAATAACACAGGGCTGGATCGATAATCAATAACACGGGGCGGATTGATAACCAATAACACGGGGCTGGGTTGATAATCAATCACACGGGGTTGGATTGATAACCAATAACACGGGGTTGGATTGATAATCAATAACATGGGGTTGGATTGATAATAACATGGGGATGGATTGATAATCAATAACACAGGTCTGGGTTGATAATCAATAACACGGGGCCAGATCAATCACTCAATATTTAAATGATTTATTGGATTGATAATCAATCACACAGGGCTGGATCGATAATCAATCACACAGGGCTGGATCGATAATCACACAGGGATGGATCGATAATCAATCACACAGGGATGGATCGATCATCAATAACACAGGGCTGGATCAATAATCACACAGGGATGGATCAATAATCAATCACACAGGGATGGATCGATCATCAATAACATGGGGTTGGATTGATAATCAATAACACAGGTCTGGGTTGATAATCAATAACACGGGGCCAGATCAATCACTCAATATTTAAATGATTTATTGGATTGATAATCAATCACACAGGGCTGGATCGATAATCAATCACGTAGGGCTGGATTGATAATCAATAAGGAGGGGCTGGTTCGATAACCAATCACACAGGGCTGGATCAATATTTTATAAGGGGACCAGAGGATTGGTATTAATAATAATAATAATAATAGATAATAATAGTAGCAGAATTTTAAAAGGGGGCCAGATGGCTATAAATGCTATTATTATTATTATTATTATTATTATCATTATATTATTATTATTATTATTATTATTATTATTATTATTATCATCATCATCATCACCATTATTGGATTGATAATCAATCACTATCACTGATAATCATTATCATTATTAATAATGACTAAAAGCTCATGAGATTCCTCAAAATGATCTTTCCTTCTAAGATAATAATAATAATAATAGATAATAATAGTAGCAGAATTTTATAAGGGGGCCAGATGGTTATAACTGAAATTATTATTAATGACTAAAAGCTCATGAGATTCCTCAAAATGATCTTTCCTTCTAAGATAATAATAATAATAATAATAATAATAATAAATAATAATAATAATAATAATAGCAGCATTTTATAAGGGGATCAGAGGATGGGTAATAATAATAATAATAATAATAATAATATAATAATAATAATAGCATTTTATAAGGGGGTCAGAGGATGGGTAATAATAATAATAATAATAATAATAATAATAATATAATAATAATAATAGCATTTTATAAGGGGATCAGAGGATGGGTAATAATAATAATAATAATAATAATAATAATAATAATAGCATTTTATAAGGGGTCAGAGGATGGGTACATAATACATACAATAATAATAATATAATAATAATAATAGCATTTTATAAGGGGATCAGAGGATGGGTAATAATAATAATACACATAATAATAATAATACACAAAGAGACCAAAGACAGGAAGTTGCAGTTTCTGAATCTATTTATTAGGAGGAAGTGACATCAAAGGACCATAGAGATGTTCTTCTCATTCCTAGAAGAGAAGGAGAAGAGAAGGTGAGGTTTCCAAGCTTGGGAAATGTCCATCAAGATAGACCTGGGAACTGTCCATCTAGACTTGGGAAATGTCCATCAAGGTAGAGCTGAGATTTCCCAAAATGGGAAATGTCCATCAAGGTAGAGCTGAGATTTCCCAAAATGGGAAATGTCCATCAAGATAGAGCTGAGATTTCCCAAAATGGGAAATGTCCATCAAGGTAGAGCTGAGATTTCCCAAAATGGGAAATGTCCATCAAGGTAGAGCTGAGATTTCCCAAAATGGGAAATGTCCATCAAGGTAGAGCTGAGATTTCCCAAAATGGGAAATGTCCATCAAGGTAGAGCTGAGATTTCCCAAAATGGGAAATGTCCATCAAGGTAGAGCTGAGATTTCCCAAAATGGGAACTGTCCATCTAGACTTGGGAAATGTCCATCAAGGTGGAGCTGGGAAATGTCCATCAAGATATCTTGAGGGAGATCAAGGTAGACTTGGGAAATGTCCATCAAGGTAGAGCTGAGATTTCCCAAAATGGGAAATGTCCATCAAGGTAGAGCTGAGATTTCCCAAAATGGGAAATGTCCATCAAGGTAGACTTGGGAAATGTCCAAAACATAGACTTGGGAAATGTCCATCACGATAGACCTGAGATTTCCCAAAATGGGAAATGGCCATCAATTAGACTTGGGAAATGTCCATCAAGGTAGACTTGGGAAATGTCCATCAAGATAGACGTGAGATTTCCCAAAATGGGAAATGTCCACCAAGATAGACCTGAGATTTCCCAAAATGGGAGATGTCCATCCAGATAGACCTGAGATTTCCCAAAATGGGCAATGTCCACCAAGATAGACCTGAGATTTCCCAAAATGGGAAATGTCCATCCAGATAGACGTGAGATTTCTCCACCATGGGAGATGTCCATCAATATAAACCTGGGAAATACCCACCAAGATAGACCTGAGATTTCCCAAAATGGGAAATGTCCATCCAGATAGACCTGGAAGATGTCCATCCAGATAGACCTGAGATTTCTGCACCCTGGGAATTATCCATCAAGACAGACCTGAGATTTCCCCAAACGGGAAATGTCTATCAAGATAGACCTGAGATTTCCCAAAATGGGAAATGTCCATCCAAAAAGCCCCGAGATGTCCTCCATCAAGCTATTGACCTGAGATTTCTCCACCATGGGCAATGTCCATCCAGACAGACCTGACCTTTCCCAAACTGGGCAATGTCCATCCAGACAGACCTGAGATTTCCCAAAGTGGGAAAGGTCCAACAAGATAGACCTGAGATTTCTCAACCATGGGAAATGTCCATCAAGATCGACCTGAGATGTCCTCCACCAAGCTAGCCCTGAGATTTCCCAAACTGGGCAATGTCCATCCAGACAGACCTGACCTTTCCCAAACTGGGCAATGTCCATCCAGACAGACCTGAGATTTCCCAAAGTGGGAAAGGTCCAACAAGATAGACCTGAGATGTCCTCCACCAAGCTAGCCCTGAGATTTCCCAAACTGGGCAATGTCCATCCAGACAGACCTGAGATTTCCAAAGTGGGAAAGGTCCAACAAGATAGACCTGAGATTTCTCAACCATGGGAAATGTCCATCAAGATAGACCTGAGATGTTCTCCATCAAGCTATAGACCTGAGATTTCCCAAACTGGGCAATGTCCATCCAGACAGACCTGACATTTCCCAAAGTGGGAAATGTCCATCAAGACAGACCCGAATTCGGGAATACTCACCGCTTCGTCCTGGCAGGCCACTGCAGAGAGAGAGAGAGGAGAAAGGCGGTTATTATGGGATGGATGACCCTCCGAGGTCCCGCCTTGGAGGACCGTCTTGGAGGACCTTCTTGGAGGACCGACTCACCTTCCTTGGGGAAGATCTTGATTTGCTCGGAAGCGAATCCTCGGTTTTCGCTGCGCTGCTGGAAGTCCTCCAGCAAGCCGATTGGCTGGGATTCGGCGTCGCGGGCTGGGAAATATGAAGAATAATTACTAATAGTAGTAGTAATAATAATAGTAATAGGAATAGTAGTAGGCCTTGATAGGGTTATGAATAATAATAATACTACTAGTAGTAGACCTTGATAGTGTTATTAATAATAATATTATTAGTAGTAGTAGTAGTAGTAGTATATGAATAATAATTATTAATAGTAGTAATAATAATATTAGTAATAGTAATAGTAGTAGTAGGCCTTGATAGTGTTATTAATAATAATAATATTAGTAGTAGTAGTAGTATATGAATAATAATTATTAATAGTAGTAATAATAATATTAGTAATAGATAGTAGTAGGCCTTGATAGTGTTATTAATAATAATAATATTAGTAGTAGTAGTAGTAGTAGATGAATAATAATTATTAATAGTAGTAATAATAATATTAGTAATAGATAGTAGTAGGCCTTGATAGTGTTATTAATAATAATAGTAGTAGTAGTAGTAGTAGTATATGAATAATAATTATTAATAGTAGTAATAATAATATTAGTAATAGTAATAGTAGTAGTAGGCCTTGATAGTGTTATTAATAATAATAATATTAGTAGTAGTAGTAGTATATGAATAATAATTATTAATAGTAGTAATAATAATATTAGTAATAGTAATAGTAGTAGGCCTTGATAGTGTTATTAATAATAATAATAGTAGTAGTAGTAGTATATGAATAATAATTATTAATAGTAGTAATAATAATAATAATAGTAATAGTAGTAGGCCTTGATAGTGTTATTAATAATAATAATATTAGTAGTAGTAGTAGTATATGAATAATAATAATTATTAATAGTAGTAATAATAATATTAGTAGGCCTTGATAGTGTTATTAATAATAATAATAATATTAGTAGTAGTAGTAGTAGTAGCATATGAATAATAATTATTAATAGTAGTAATAATAATATTAGTAATAGTAATAGTAGTAGGCCTTGATAGTGTTATTAATAATAATAATAGGAGGAGGAGGAGGAGTAGGCCTCAACAGTATATTATTATTAAATCAGTATATTATTATTAATTATTATTAGTTCTTGATAATGTTAGTAAATCAGGATATTATTATTATTATTTAGTATTAGTTCTCGATAGTGTTAGTAAACCAGTATATTATTATTATTAGTCTTTGATAGTGTTATTAAATCGGGATATTATTATTATTAATAATAGCATTTTATAAGGGGACCAGAGGATGGGTATAAATGAAAGAAGAAGAAGAAGAAGAAGAAGAAGAAGAAGAAGAAGAAGAAGAAATGAAATAATAATAATAGCAGTATTTTGCAAGGGAAGCAGAGGATGGGTATAAATGAAATAATAATAATAATAGTAATAATAATAATAGCCTCTCTTTCCTGGGCTTAATAATAATAATAATAATAATAATAATAATAAATGAAATGATAATAATAGCAGTATTTTGCAAGGGAAGCAGAGGATGGGTATAAATGAAATAATAATAATAATAATAGACACTCTTTACTGGGCTTAATAATAAAAATAATAATAATAATAATAATAATTAAAATAATAATAAAAGCAGTATTTTGCAAGGGAAGCAGAGGATGGGTATAAATGAAATAATATTAATAAGAAGAATAAGAAGAATAAGAAGAAGAAGAGCCTCTCTTTCCTGGACTTAATAATAATAATAATAATATATAATAATAATAAATGAAATAATATAGTAGCAGTGTTTTGCAAGGGAAGCAGAGGATGGGTATAAATGAAATAATAATAATAATAATAATAATAATAATAATAATAATAATAATAATAGCCTCTCTTTCCTGGGCTTAATAATAATAATAATAATAATAATAATATTAATAATAATAAATGAAATAATAATAATAGCAGTATTTTGCAAGGGAGGCAGAGGATGGTATAAATGAAATAATATTAATAATAAGAATAATAATAATAATAAGAATAAGAGCCTCTCTTTCCTGGGCTTAATAATAATAATAATAAAAATAAATGAAATAATAATAATAGCAGTATTTTGCAAGGGAGGCAGAGGATGGGTATAAATGAAATAAGAAGAAGAAGAAGAAGAAGAAGAAGAAGAAGAAGAAGAAGAAGAAGAGCCTCTCTTTCCTGGGCTTAATAATAATAATAATAATAATAATAAATGAAATAATAATAATAGCAGTATTTTGCAAGGGAAGCAGAGGATGGGTATAAATGAAATAATAATAATAATAATAATAATAATAATAGCCTCTCTTTCCTGGGCTTAATAATAATAATAATAATAATAATAATAGCCTCTCTTTCCTGGGCTTAATAATAATAATAATAATAATAATAATAAATGAAATAATAATAATAGCAGTATTTTGCAAGGGAAGCAGAGGATGGGTATAAATGAAATAATAATAATAATATATAATAATAATAATAATAAGAGCCTCTCTTTCCTGGGCTTAATAATAATAATAATAATAATAATAAATGAAATAATAATAATAGTATTTTGCAAGGGAAGCAGAGGATGGGTATAAATGAAATAATAATAATAATAATATCCTCTCTTTCCTGGGCTTAATAATAATAATAATAATAATAATATATAAATGAAATAATAATAACAGCAGTATTTTGCAAGGGAAGCAGAGGATGGGTATAAATGAAATAATAATAATAATAATAGCCTCTCTTTCCTGGGCTTAATAATAATAATAATAATAATAATGAAATAATAATAATAGCAGTATTTTGCAAGGGAAGCAGAGGATGCGTATAAATGAAATAATAATAATAATAATAATAATAAGAGCCTCTCTTCCTGGGCTTAATAATATATATACATACATAATATTACCATAGAGCGTGGAGGTCTGGTAGGTCTGTCCATCCCGGCTGGTGATCAAGTCGACGATGGCGTACGTCTGGCCGTCCGTCTCTATGACCTCCACTTTATGATCTCCGAATTCTGGAGGAAGGAAAGGCCATATAATAATAATAATAATACATAATATGCTGGCTTCCCCAGTGTACGAAAAATAGGATTATTCATGTTAAAAATAGGATTATTGATATTAAAAATACTAATATTAATATTAGCAATGTGATTATTCCTATTAAAAATAGGGTGCTTCATAAGACAAATCGGATTATTCATCTTCATAATAGGATTATTCATATTAAAAATACGGTTATTCATATTAAAAATAGGATTATTCATATTCATAATAGGATTATTCATATTAAAAATACAGTTATTCATATTAAAAATAGGATTATTCATATTCATAATAGGATTATTCATATTAAAAATACGGTTATTCTTATTAAAAATAGGATTATTCATATTTAAAAAATATGATTATTCATATTAAAAATACGATTAGTGATATTGAAAATATGAGTATTCATATTAAAATATGATTTTTCATACTAAAAAGGCGATTGTTCGTGTTAAAAATACTAGGATTCATGTTAAAAATAGGATTATTCAGATTAAAAATAGGATTATTCAGGTTAAAAATAGGATTATTCGTATTAAAAATAGGATTATTCAGATTAAAAATAGGATAATGAATATTGAAAATCGGATAATTCATATTACAAATAGGATTGTTCATATTTAAAAAAGGATTTTGATATCAAAAATTGGATTATTCAGATTAAAAATAGGATTATTCATATTAAAATATGATTAATATTGGAAATACAATTATTCATATTAAAAATACAAGTATTCATATTAAAAATACGATAATTTATATTAAAAAGACAAGTATTCATATTAAAAGTATGGTTTTTCGTATTAAAGATATGATTTTTCATATTACAAATATGATTTTTCATATTAAAATACAATTTTTCAAATTTAAAAACAATTTTTCATATTAAAAATACAATTATTCATATTAAAATACGATTATTCATATTAAAATATGATTAATATTGAAAATACAATTATTCATATTAAAATATGATTGATATTGAAAATACGATGATTCATATTAAAAATACGATGATTCATATTAAAAATTCGATGATTCATATTCAATATACAAGTATTCATATTAAAATATGATTATTCTTATTAAAATACGATGATTCATATGAAAATACGATGATTCATATTAAAAATACGATGATTCATATTAAATATACAAGTATTCATATTAAAATATGATTATTCTTATTAATCGTATTTTAATATGAATACGATGATTCATATTAAAAAGACAAGTATTCATATTAAAAAGACAAGTATTTATATGAAAAATACGGTTTTTCATATTAAAAATACAAGTATTCATGTTAATGATAATAATACTATTCATTATAATATATATTGATAATGATGTTATTATAATGTACAATATTTATATTAATTGAGAATATATTCTTATTATACGAACTGCATTTGTGGTAGTATTTCCCGTCTTCGCCTCTCCTGAAAACCATCTTGAAGGATTTGCAGCCATGGGGTCTGCCGGAAAAAGGGGGAGCGAGAAAAAGAAAATATATATATTTATTGGGGGAATCAGGGCAGAAAAAGAAATATATATATATTTATCGGGGAAATTGGGGGCGAGAAAAGGAAAATATATATATTTATCGGGGAAATCGGGGCGAGAAAAAGAAATATATATATATTTATGGGGGCGAGAAAAGAAATATATATATATTTATTGGGGGAAATTGGGAGCGAGAAAAGAAATATATATATATTTGTCGGGGAAATTGAGGGCAGAAAAAGGAAAATATATATATTTATCGGGGAAATCGGGGCGAGAAAAGGAAGATATATATATTTATTGGGGAAATTGGGGGCGAGAAAATAAATATATATATATTTATCGGGAAATCAGGACACCCCTTTCTGTGAAAAGGGGACTTCCTGTCCCAAACCAGGCACTTCCTGTCCCCAAACTCTGTCCGGATGACCCTCCTGCCCCTTCCGCCCCCATCCTGTTCCAAAATAGGGACTTCCTCTCCCAAACAGGCACTTCCTCTCCCAAAACCAGCCCCTTCCTCTCCCAAACAGGCACGTCCTGTCCCAAAACCAGCCCCTTCCTCTCCCAAACAGGCACTTCCTGTCCCAAACAGGCACTTCCTCTCCCAAAACCAGCCCCTTCCTCTCCCAAACAGGCACTTCCTGTCCCAAACAGGCACTTCCTGTCCCAAAACCAGCCCCTTCCTCTCCCAAACCAGGCCCTTCCTCTCCCCCAAGTCCGTCCTGTTCCAAAATAGGGACTTCCTCTTCCCAAACAGGCACTTCCTGTCCCAAAACCAGCCCCTTCCTCTCCCAAACAGGAACTTCCTCTCCCAAAACCAGCCACTTCCTCTCCCAAACAGGCACTTCCTCTCCCAAACAGGCACTTCCTGTCCCAAACCCAGCCACTTCCTCTCCCAAACAGGTACTTCCTCTCCCAAACAGCCACTTCCCCTCCCAAACAGGCACTTCCTCTCCCAAAACGAGCCACTTCCTCTCCCAAACAGGCACTTCCTGTCGCCAAAACGAGCCACTTCCTCTCCCAAACAGGCACTTCCTCTCCCAAAACCAGCCCCTTCCTCTCCCAAACAGGCACTTCCTGTCCCAAAACTCTGTCCTGCCCCCTTCCACCCCATCATGTTCCAAAATAGGGACTTCCTCACCTGAACCAGCCACTTCCTCTCCCAAACAGGCACTTCCTGTCCCAAACAGGCACTTCCTGTCCCAAAACCAGCCCCTTCCTCTCCCAAACAGGCACTTCCTGTCCCCAAACTCTGTTCTGCCCCTTCCACCCCATCATGTTCCAAAATAGGGACTTCCTCTCCCGAACCAGCCCCTTCCTCTCCCAAGCAGGCACTTCCTCTCCCAAACTGGCACTTCCTGTCCCAAAACCAGCCCCTTCCTCTCCCAAACAGGCACTTCCTGTCCCAAAACCAGCCCCTTCCTGTCCCAAAACCAGACCCTCCTGCCCCCTTCTGCCCCATCCTGTTCCAAAATAGGGACTTCCTCTTCCCAAACCAGCCCCTTCCTCTCCCAAACAGGCACTTCCTGTCCCAAACCAGCCACTTCCTCTCCCAAACAGCCACTTCCTGCCCCAAAACCAGCCCCTTCCTCTCCCAAACAGCCACTTCCTGTCCCAAAACTCTGTCCGGATGAGCCTCCTGCCCCCTAGTCCGTCCTGTTCCAAAATAGGGACTTCTCTTCCCAAACAGCCCCTTCCTCTCCCAAGCAGGCACTTCCTGTCCCCAAACCAGCCACTTCCTCTCCCAAACAGGCACTCCATCCTGTTCCAAAATAGGGACTTCCTCTTCCCAAACCAGCCCCTTCCTCTCCCAAACAGGCCCTTCCTGCCCCAAAACCAGCCCCTTCCTCTCCCAAACAGCCACTTCCTCTCCCAAACAGGCACTTCCTCTCCCAAACCAGGCATTTTTATCGGGGCAAAAATGGGGGCGAGACACAAAAAAAAAAATAAATAAATCGGGGGAAATCAGGACACCCCCTTTCCGGGAAAAGGGGGACTTCCTGTCCCAAACCAGGCCCTGCCTCTCCCAAACAGGCCCTTCGGCTCCCCAACAGGCACTTCCTGTCCCAAAAGCTCTGTCCGGATGACCCTCCTGCCCCCTTCCACCCCATCCTGTTCCAAAATAGGGACTTCCTCTTCCCAAACAGCCACTTCCTCTCCCAAACAGGCACTTCCTCTCCCAAACCAGGCCCTTCCTCTCCCCCAAGTCCGTCCGGATGACCCTCCTGCCCCCTTCCGCCCCATCCTGTTCAAAAAATAGGGACTTCCTGTCCCAAAACTAGGACACCCCATCCCAAAACAGTGACTTCCTCTCCAAACCAGGCCCTTCCTCTCCCCAAGTCCGTCCTGTTCCAAAATAGGGACTCCTCTTCCCAAACAGGCCCTTCCTCTCCCAAACAGGCACTTCCTCTCCCGAACCAGCCACTTCCTGTCCCACACCCAGCCCCTTCCTCTCCCAAACAGGCACTTCCTGTCCCAAAACCAGCCCCTTCCTCTCCCAAACAGGCACTTCCTGTCCCAAAACCAGCCACTTCCTCTCCCAAACAGGCACTTCCTGTCCCAAAACTCTGTCCGGATGAGCCTCCTGCCCCCTTCCACCCCATCCTGTTCCAAAATAGGGACTTCCTCTTCCCAAACAGGCACTTCCTCTCCCAAACAGGCACTTCCTGTCCCAAACCAGGCACTTCGTCTCCCAAACCCGTGACTTCCTCTTCCAAACCAGGCCCTTCCTCTCCCCCAAGTACGTCCTGTTCCAAAATAGGGACTTCCTCTTCCCAAACAAGCACTTCCTCTCCCGAACCAGCCACTTCCTGTCCCAAACCAGGCACTTCCTGTCCCCAAACTCTGTCCGGATGACCCTCCTGCCCACATCCACCCCATCCTGTTCCAAAAAAGGGACTTCTCTTCCCAAACAGCCACTTCCTCTCCCGAACCAGCCACTTCCTCTCCCAAACAGGCATTTCCTCTCCTAAACAGGCACTTCTTCTCCCAAACTGGCACTTCTCTCCCAAACCAGCCCCTTCCTCTCCCAAACAGGCACTTCCTGTCCCAAAACTCTGTCCGGATGACCCTCCTGCCCCCTTCCACCCCATCCTGTTCCAAAATAGGGACTTCCTCTTCCCAAACAGCCCCTTCCTCTCCCAAACAGGCACTTCCTGTCCCCAAACCAGCCACTTCCTCTCCCAAACAGGCACTCCATCCTGTTCCAAAATAGGGACTTCCTCTTCCCAAACAGGCACTTCCTGTCCCAAAACCAGCCACTTCCTCTCCCAGGCACTTCCTGTCCCAAACAGGCACTTCCTGTCCCAAAACCAGCCACTTCCTCTCCCAGGCACTTCCTGTCCCAAACAGGCACTTCCTGTCCCAAAACCAGCCCCTTCCTGTCCCCAAACCAGACCCTCCTGCCCCCTTCCGCCCCATCCTGTTCCAAAATAGGGACTTCCTCTCCCGAACCAGCCACTTCCTCTCCCAAACAGGCACTTCCTCTCCCAAAACCAGCCCCTTCCTCTCCCAAACAGCCACTTCCTGCCCCAAAACCAGCCCCTTCCTCTCCCAAACAGGCCCTTCCTGTCCCAAAACCAGCCCCTTCCTCTCCCAAACAGGCACTTCCTGTCCCCAAACTCTGTCCGGATGACCCTCCTGCCCCCTTCCGCCCCATCCTGTTCCAAAATAGGGACTTCCTCTTCCCAAAACCAGCCCCTTCCTCTCCCAAACAGGCACTTCCTCTCCCAAAACCAGCCACTTCCTGTCCCCCAAGTCCGTCCTGTTCCAAAATAGGGACTTCCTCTCCCGAACCAGCCACTTCCTGTCCCAAAATCAGCCCCTTCCTCTCCCAAACAGCCACTTCCTGTCCCCAAACCAGCCACTTCCTGCCCCCCTTACGTGGGAATGCGGGTCTCCACCACCACATCGTCTCCTCAAAGCTGACGTCCACCATGACGATCTTCATCTTCTCCATGTGCTCCAGGATTTTGGGGTCGGTGGTGCTGAGGGCCAAGGCCATCCATCTTCCTTTGGCCTGGTTGGGGGGCAGAGAGGGAGGTTGGAGGACCCACAGGAAGTGGGGTGGTCTGGATGAAGGAAGGATGGAAGGAAGGAAGGAGGAAGGAAGGAAGGAGGGAGGGAAGGAGAAGGAGGAAATGAAAGAAAGATAAGGAAGGAGGGAGGTAAGGCGAAGGAAAGAAAGAA